CTGCACGTTTGAGGACCTCTCTCTTTTGTCCTATTCTAGCTAGTATAGCAAGCATTGTGGTATTTAAACCTGTTGATGAAGGCCACCACAGTAGACATTGGAATCTCATGTGAATTTAGCAATTTTTCTAGTTGTCACCAGAGTTGATACTCATTTACTTTGGATTGTTGAACAATTCTATCCTTCCTCCTTGATTCTCTGGTAGGAAATGTGACTGAAATAACATTATGAGATGAACTTTATTTTCAGCATTTTTACAGGGTATGAATACATTTACATAGACATACAGTATATAACTATTTTCTGACACTAATGTTAGTGAATTGTCACAAGAACAGGCCTCCTGAGACTAGTCTTCTAGCTCAGGAAGAAGGGCTTAAGTACAGGAGGAAACTTGAACCCAGGTGGGGTGAATTTCATGATAATGAAATCAACAAAAATGCATATACATCTAACTGTATATATGAAACCTGACTAGGCTCTATCAGGTTTCCCTCTACTCCGTCAGGCAGTTAGTATACTTCTAATCTCTAATATGAAACTTAAAGAAGTACTTTTCCTTTATTTTTTATGTTTCCTTTTATGGTATGTTTCGAGTAACCGCCCAAATAACTCTTGCTAGTCTTGGACTTGAGGCAGCTGTCTTTTTTCTCCTAGAAATTCATCTTCTACATACAAAATATGATCATTAATGGATTCTGAGTTCCATTACTATTTTTCCATATTTTGCTTGGCATCTGCCCTTACTTTCCATACATTTGTGAATCACAATCCAAACCCGCACCATTTAACTCTTTTTTCATTTCTTCTTGTTATAAATACTACTGGAAAATGTATATTCCTATTATTGTGTATTTGTATATTCATACTGATATTCCTAGTTCATATAAGAAAATAATACTAATAAAAATACAATATAATCCTCTTGCAAACAACAAACTCAGACTACAGAGTGACTTCATGTATAAGAGTCATATGTCAGGACACAGGGTGGTCACACTCTCTTTTAGAAAGTATGTTTTATTAGTCCTGTATGTTTTCGTGACATTTTTTTGTATCAGTCATTCTATACTAATGCAGATGCTGGTACATTCCAGTATTCATAATATTGATAAACTGAAACATCCAACGATTATCAGACAACTGGTTATTCATAGTAAACGCTACACAACCTGTAGCCTAATCTGGAAGCACAGCACACAAGGTGGGACTACACCAGGGAAACACGTTGGAATGTGTCAGGGTGTCTCACCTTGTGCTCTTTGAATCCGAGATGGGATCTGTCTTGCAAAGAATAAGCAGTATTTTGATGATGGATGAAATGAATATAAGAGCAGTCACATGCTTTCAGTCCACTTAATGCTATAGTAACTTGGATATGTTGTGGCCCAGTTAGCCACTATGCACTGGTATGGCTTTTGCCTTTCCCTTGCTGTTTTGGAACGCTTGTCCTGGAGAGTCATACAGTTTATCCCGTCTAATTTTCTTAAAAACTGTTAAGAGTATGGAAACAGTTATGGAGGTTCTGCATCTTCAATTAAGTGCAATGGATTTGAAAGGCTTTGAGACTAAAAACAAGTAAAATAAATCTGTCAGCTGAGAGTTTAAGAAAAGCATCAAGGTACACTAAACACTTAGTCTGACATCCCATGTCTCCCCAAATTGTCACATGATAACTGAACTGTAAAGAGCAGCCACAAATATATGCCTAAAGTGGGCAGAATTGAAATATCTGGTAATGATAACGGTAAATGCTAAAGAACTATTCCGTGCATACAGTGATAACGTAATGTGGTAGTTAGCACTATGGCCTCACAACTCACAGGTCTCGGGTTTGATCCTGGTTCAGGGTGACTGTCTCTCCATGTTCCCATGGAATTGTACTGGGTGCTCCTTTTTCCTTCTACATTTCAAGGACATGCACTTTAGGTCTGATTGACCATCCTAAATTGGGCCTAAATTCTGGGGTGGTTTTTTGGGGGGGAATCTCATTTGTCCCAGTAAAACGGATATTTCTTATAGAATGAGAGAGAAACAGAACTGAATGGGTATTCTGAACTGAATTGCCTCCTCGCATTTTTAGCCATTCCGAACTAATCCACTGAGTGTAAATTAGTAGGAAAGAGGACAGGATGAACAGCAGGGTTCCTGGTAATAGAAGAAAGAGCAAATCTTAGCTTTAGGAACTAGGAGGTCAACACCATGAAAGAGCAAATCAAGTTTGCGTGTAAAATATTTTGATTTTTTCAAAGCACAGATTATCCTCTAGAAAACTACATATACTATATTTCCTGTGGTTAGACATGAAATACAACAGAAGAAGATATAAATCAGAACAGGCAGTACCAATTTAAGACCTCAGGATAAGTTTTTATTCAGCTGAGCTTTCAGCTACATGAATCAACCATTGATATAATTACATTTGATTTGAACTCAGTGCTGAACCTTGAAAGATTTTCTCTTAAGAAACTTATTAATTCAGTGATTTTACTAGGTAACTGAGAGCTCCGTTGTATTGAAAACTACACGAACTGGAAAAGCTCTGCTCGATTGTACCTTGCTGTGGAAATGCACTTTATAGAGTTGCCACTAGGGAGCAGTGTTGATCCCTGTAACACACAGTAGCTCTGCTCTAACAATACAATTTAAAAAAATACTTTGAATTTGCAGTTGTGAAGATACACCTGCTATAATTACATTTTGGTACATTTCTCTAAATATCTTAATATATTGCATATCTTGCTATTCAAGAATCAAGAATGTCTCCAATTATTCCCAATCCAGCACTTTGACTTGGTATGCTTTGTTTCACCTTTTTCGAAACTTGAATTAACAGCAGGACACTGTTCTGCTTTTCTTCTCAAAGAAGAAATACACTGCCTGTTTCTGCAAACTGAGAATAAAATAATGGTTCAGTAGCAGGCTGTTAACTCACACCATTCCTTTTTTAACCACTTCTTCCAAATCAGGGGAACAAAGGAACTGGCATGCCAAACACACACTCACACCATTGCTATTTTTTCCAGAAGCCCATTTACCTACCAGTATGTTTTTGGGCTGTGAGAGGAAACCAGAGCACCCAGAGGGAAGTCCCAAAAATGCAGGGGAAACATGCAAACTCCACACAGATAACATCCCAGGTCCAGAATTGAACCCAGGACCCCATCACTGTAAGGCAGCAATGCTAACCATTGCACCACTGTGCCACCTGCGTGATAATGGTAAAAGATACTGCATATAGTTTAATTCAAGAAATGTTATGTTACATTTGTACAATTCATCAATAAGATCTCAATATATTTTGAACAATTGTGTTCATTATTGTACCAAAAAAAACTGTGACTATGGAATCAGTTCAAAGCAGGGTAACTAAATATATTCCAAGCTTAGAGGAATATCCTTCACTGATAGGCAAAAATATCTGAATCATTTTAGTGTTGAACAGAGAAGACTACCAGGGGACTTGATTCAAGTATTCAAAATCATCAAAGGCAATGGAAATGTTAGCCCAGTGGAATCCTAAAAAAACAACAGTGAAATGTGAGCTATAGGACACAAGTGGAAACTATAGCAAAGTGCTTTCAAAACTGAGAACAGGAAGGCTGTGAGAGTCTGCAACAAACTACTGTATGTCAATGCCAGTATCATCTTCAAATCATATAGAAAAAAAACCCAAAACCAAAAGGACTGTACCCATTCTTACCTTTGCCTATCTTTCATATTTTCATGAACAAATGAGTCAATTATACTGTGCATATTATGAACTAGAAGGATTTCTCAAGTTACTTATTAATAGTAAGCAGGCTTGTCCAGGATTACATACCATGTAAGACACCTATCAAAGCACCAGGCTAGAAAGAAAAACACATGATCTAAGCAACATGTTTTTATTTGATCATTAATATTACTTTAAAATAATTTCTGTTGAAAGCTAGGTGTAATGATGGATCAAGACGTTAATAATAACATGTTTTACAAATTGTAATGTATACATTTTGTTATAGACCATGTTTTAAACTTTTAACCTTTTATTTTTCCTCCGTCTTACCATACCTGCAAGCCTGTTCAAGTTCCCTTGTGCCTTTCTTTCACTACACATCTTCCCCCACTCCCACATTCATCACGTCTCCTTCTACATGGGCCAAACAGAGGATACAGTCAAAGCTAATAAAGTTCAGTCACCCCAGGGCCAGTTCATCACTCGTAATCAGTGGGCAGAGATGATTGCTGTCCAAAGTGGAAAGTAAAGGGCTCCCACCTAATTTGTCAACTGAACCCCTTAGTGCAAACTGTAATTTTTCTAATCTTATGAAGAACATGTTATGTTTAATCCTAGGAGAAACTGAGGAATGTGAGGGAGATATTCCAAAGAGCTAATAGCTTCAGAAATGGGAGTACTTCAAATGCCATTTCACTCATTCAGACAAACCACTGATGGGTCTGGGTTCACAGGTCTTATTTTTATTAAATGGAATATTTTGTAAGTGTCATTGTCTTCATAGATAAATACTGTGTTCGGTTTAATTTGGGGATTAGGGATTCATTTGGCTTGATGCTTAATTTGACAGGAACTGAATGCACATTGCAGGCTGGGAACAGACGGAGACCATCACTGTTCCAGAAATACACATAAATATTTTACCAAGGAACAAAAGCTGCAGTTGGGCAGTGCGTGTGCATTATCATGCAGGTGTGATTATCTGCATTTTTGAAAAAATCTACAATAGTTTCAGAGTTTGTAGCCCACAGCCAAATAGACTGCACACAAACAAAAACTCCTCTCTTAGAAACAGTGTTCGTCATATTGATGGCGGACTCCACTGGGAGTGTGTCATTCTGTGAGCATATTGCGAGTAGCCTGAAGCAGCCTGAAGCAGCCTACAGCCAGGATTAGGGCCCAATAAGGAGCAGCTTTTCCTGGGCAGCCAGGAGGCTTTTCCTAGTCCTGCAATTTATTGCTTTTGCGTTTTGTATTATAGTGGTATTTTTCCCCCTTCCAGAGGTTGTAAAGAGATCCACTGAATCCTCCTGCCACAATGGTGTTAAAACACAATTAAGATAGAGAAGAAAAGAGAAGATTCGAGGAAGACTGCCTGGATTCCCGAGAGCCTGGCAGAAAATTCAGACCCTGCTGTTCACTCTTCAGATCCTGCGATGCCCTCCTTCCCAAATGATGGAGGTGAGTAAGAAATTTGGAAAAAAATATGAACACAAGACTGACATGCAGGTACTTTGTGTAATTGACTGTGAGGTTTGTTGTAAGGCCTGCAGATGTGTTAAATCAGAGGTTAGCAGTCATATCCTCTGTGAAATGTGTAAGAAGCTCAACCCATAGCACAGTGAACAGGACAATGCAACTCTAGAGTGACCTTAAGCCTCAAGCAAAGAGGAAGGATTTAATGATAATGATAATGATTTAATTTAATGTAAATTAACTTACATGATCTCAATTATACATTTTATATAATAACCCCCTCCCACCACTGTGTACTGTTCTGCTATCAGGTTTTTATAGTTCAATGAAAACCCACTTTTTGCATTTCCCCGGTAGAGGCACAGTACCTCAATTCCAGACACAGTACTCTTCCTTCTCCAACAATAATGCCCTATCAATCCCAGCTCTGCACCAGATGGACCCATATGCTCTGTGCTTACCAGCCTCTTCCAACACAATAGCTGTCGGTCTAAACTAAAATGAGACCCTAGCTTTTATGCACCAGGCTTTTTGCACTATTCCAAACGGGCTTTTGCTTATTTACTTTTAGCTAGATTTTTCAGGAAAGGGGCTGTTTTTGAGATAGAATTGGGTTTTAAATATTTTCTTATACCAAGAAATGATTTGGCCCACAGATGGTAGTCATGGAAACAATCCCATATGTCAGTTTCCCAGAATTAGAATACAAAGAAGTTTTAACTAAATTGCAGGAAATAAGTTTGATACTACTGTTTCGATACTGTAAACTATATTCATAAATCCCGGAAAAGCTATGAACTTGTATTGGAGAGCAACTCAATTGGTTTTTGTTTTGTTTTCAGCAAGTGGAAAAAAAAGAACCTGGAATTTATAAATGTAAACAAAGTAGGCTTAGAGAAGGAGAAACTAAAAAAAATATAGAACTACAATGGGGAAGATTCCAAAGAAAATCTGCATGGGAGATATACAGAAAGTTGAGCCATAAAGAGAACCCTAGGGAAAAACAAAAATATCAAAGGACCAAGTAATTAAAAGCTCATATGCTCTGCTGGGAGTATTAGGACCAAAATTCAAGAAATAGAAGCTACTGCATTAGGAGGCCATTATAATGTAATTTGAGCCTCTAAGCTGTGGCCAACAGAGTGTGATGGTGATGGATACATTATTAGTGGATACACTAGTATTTTGAAGAGATGGGAAAGATGGAAGAGGTGTAGGACTATTCATCAAAAAGAGCATTCAGGAACAGGAAATTTACTTTGTCTCAGAATCAACAGTACATCGGTCAGACTGATAAAAAACATTCAGAGGACATAGTGTTAGGTGTATGTTACAGACCACCAAATTCAGATAAATTAGAATGCCATCTTATGTAATGAAATCAAAGACTGTACTGTCTGTGTAAGTTATCATGGAATATTTTAGTTTTTCTCACAGAAAAAACAGCTGAAATGTCCAGCAGTTGGAACTAGAATGGTAGAAATAGTTAATGATAGCTTCCTTACTCAGTTTACACTTAAGAGAGAAAATGGTGCCCTTGTTTAGTGCTTTCAAACAGTCAAACAACAATGTAAAAAACAGGTGAGAGAACCATTAAAAACTGTGATCATAAATGATCATAATAGTCTACTATGAAGCTCTACAGTTAGAGACCAAGCAAAGAGCTTAAGAGAAGCATAATGAGGCAAAATATGTATACAGTATATATAATAATAAGAACTGGAAACCTTTAGATGGTAAAATGGAAATGGCTGAAGCATTTATTGAATATTTAACTGAAGTGTTAACTACTGACTTATAATAATGTTTCTCATAAAATGTTAAGGCGGTACTGTAGGTGTTAAAGGCAATGTATGCATTTGGTGTGAGAACTGGTTAATCGATAGAAACAAAGGACACATAAGGGTACTGAAGGGATACTTCAGCTGGGATGATTAGATTAATCTGACAGGAATCTGCATTATGATCACTGCTCTTCATAATTTGTATTGATTTTCTTTGGGAACTGCCAATATACCCATAAGGTTTGCAATACCAAAAGAAGAGAGTTAACAAACCTGGTCGAACATGTGATAGATTTGAAAACAAATATTAGATTGGATCCAACATAGTATTATGAATATTGATGATAATATTTAATGTAGACAGGTGCAATGATACATGCAAGCAGCAATTACAAGCTATAAATACAATATGGGAAACATAGAACATGAAGACGTTGCTCATAAAAATACTTAGGTGTTTATATTGACACATCATTTACATCTTACATGCAGTTTGGGGTAATAAAAAAACTGAATATTAGGAAATACAGACCGAAGTGCACAAATTAAAATTGCACATTGCACTACTAGGAGGTCATTTAGAATATTTTATACAGGTTTGGTCACCAAAAAAGTTTGCTGCTTTGGAATCAGTCCAGAGAAGAGCAACCAGATACATTCTTCATCTTAAAAGAATGCCCTTATCTTAATCTGAATGGAAATCCTCAAAGGCATTGACAATGTTAACCTAATGGTTGTCTTTATAATCAACAGTGAAACACAACCCCAAGGATATAAATATAAACTATGGGAAGGGCATTTACAGCGGACAACAAGAGACATTTCTTTACAGGATTGTGGGAATCTGGAAAAAGCTACCTAATCACATTGTGAAAACTGATACCCTGGCTTCTTCTAAAAAATGGCTGGATGTGAGCTTTGGATCAATTAACTGCTAATAACCAAATCAGCTAAATGCACCAAATGGCCTCCTCTCATTTGCAGGTTTTATTGTATTGTTATCTGACTCACCCAAAATTTACTTGTAATACATTCCTGATCTATTAACTATTGATGTTATTGCTTAATAGCAGTAAAGCACTGGCAAAATGCAATATAATTAATGATGTCAGATGGCCCCCTCATTTCTGAACTTTAGAGAAATTTAAGATTTTAAAAATGTTTCTCAATCACAGCAGCCGCAAAAAGCACTAAACATTGTGAAACAAACATTTTTTTTTTGCAGACAGACCTGTTTGAGTTTTGTCAATGTTTTAGAATTTGTTCCATCAAGCAGAACACTGGAACATGTCTGCTCAACTCAGTTGTTTGAAGAAAATAACAATATTCACGATGGTTTTTATGCCCACTTCCAAGATAGCAAAACAAGAGAATACCAACAGGTATGGAATCAGAAATAGTTGTGGATCTATATCTGTATATATACTTTATCAGTGACTTAAAATAGCCCCCTTAAATCCTCAAGTCTGGGTTTTACACTGTGATGTTTCTGAACTGTGGTTTCGGCAGAGGATCAAGGAACATCCCCCGTGAATGTGCAATCCGAAGTCCCGTATCAAAGCAATGGGAAGAGGAAAGTCAGAACAAAGAAGAAGAAGGGAACCATCACAGCCAACGTAGCCGGAACAAAGTATGAAATTGGTAAGCAAAAATAGCTTTAGACCTGAACTGTCAAACAACAGTCTTTGAGACATGAGACATGGTGCTGTGAGTTAGATTCTTCCTGTGCTCACAGTAATTGAACCTGTTTTGTTTTTTTGCACAACAGTGCAAATTCAACAATCCTTCCAGGCCCTTAGCATCTGGGGATATGAAGAAAAAATCTGTAAAACCTACTTGCAGTTCAAAGCCTGGAGTTTGACACCTCTGCCTCTGACATTTCGTATGCTCAGCAGTTTTCATAGCTAATGCTACGTAATTATTCTGGAGTGTTTTTGTTCTGTTGTTGATTGAATAAGACGCAGGAGGAGGACATTAGATGCTACTTTAACCTGTTTCTCTATTATTGCATAGAAAAGAATTACAAATGTATTAAAATGTCTTTTGAAAAATACCACTCTTTTCCCTAACATCTCGGGAGTTTCATTCCAATGTGGATCATGTCAAGAATTTAGAGAAGTGCTCCCCTGACCTCTAGTGGGTATCCCTTTATCTGTATGGGATTTTGGTCTAACCACCAGCTGTACGTAACAACCTGTAAGTGTTGTAGTTAGGGCATTTCTGTGTATTATTCCAGCACATCAACATGTTTTATTTTATTTTAAAATGTAAAAAATATGATTGTTAGATCTGTAATGTACAGCACTTGATGGAAATATATTGTGCATGATCATGTTCTCTTAGTGCTCCTGTATGGGGAGGCAGGACAGGTTTGGCAAACAGAAATACAGATATGAACACATACAACATACATGCTCATGTGCAACGATTTTGCACTTAATATTTTTTTGCTCTGTGTATTCCATCCATCCATTTTCTAACTGCTTTATTAGTTGGAGTGAAAGCCTATTCCCGCAAGCCAAGGGCACAAGGTGGGATGAATCCTATCCACGGTATCAGTCCATCACAGGGCACACATCGTCACAAACACGCAAAAACACTCAAAAACACTCACACCAGGTGATAGGGCCTGTTTCCCAGAATGGGAGGAAGCCAGAGGACCCAGTGGAAGCCCACGTGAACACAGGGAGAACATAGAAGCTCCACACTGATAGCACTCCTGGTCCGGAACTGAACCTAGAGCCTCAGCTCTGTGAAAAAGCAATGCTTACCACCGTACCAGGCTGCCCTGCTCTATAACATTTTAACATCATTTTATTAGCCCTACAATTTCTTGCATTAGGAATTCATCTTTTCACATGCCACAACTTGCTCTCCATGAGACACACAGAGAAGCTTGGGGTCAAAGTGCAGGGTCAGCCATTATACAGCACCCCTGGAGTAGTTGGAGCTAAGGGCCTTGCTCAGGGCTCCAACGGAGTAGGATTCCTCTGCTGGCTGCAGGATTTGAACTGGTAACCTTCCAGCCACCGGCACAGATCCTTAGCCACAAAGCCACTGCTCCGCCCCGATATATTCAAGTAATAACTTTCAGACAAAAATGTTTTTTAGTCATTAAAAACCTATTATACTGTGTTCTTCGGATTTACCATTTTAGTACTATAAATTAGAAGACTATGCATCAGATGCATAGTGTATTTAGCAAGTTAGAGTATGGGAAACATTCACAATGAAAGCCTTTGGGTGGTTAATGCAAACATTATGTACAGTAACTACATAATGTATTACCCATGGTTATCATAAGAAACCTACATATTACACAAAGCAGATGCAAATTTGTAATAATTTATCCACTGTAAGGTACATACTGTACAGTTACCTTGAAGAAGCGGCTTTTAATTAATTCCTTTATCTTCATTAAAGTCTACCCAGAACATCACACTGCACTGAACACAGATGTTTCGGACATTTCTTATTGAAAAAAGGAGTCAATTTTTGCTACAAAGAGGTGTGGTTATGTGTTTTCAACTGCCAAACGATGTTCTGGATGGAGATAAGGTATGGGTTCAATAACCTGCTCTTACTAGCCTGGCTTAAAATATACTCCTTACTAACCTTCACTGCATTCACTTGGACAGTATAAAGGAAAGATTGGTCTTATTTACAGATTTAGATATTTTTTTCATAAGACCTTTGTTCATAAAGTCTAAGGTTTGTTAAACTAATCCTAAGGGACTACACTCTTGAAGCTTCATCACACATTCTGGCATTACAATTGACTGTCCCTGCGGCTCCAGAACCATTGAACCATTGAAGTCACTCATTTGGAGTGCAGACCGAAACAGAATGTCCAAACACAAAGGGCTTGGACTGTATTTTAACTGACTGTGACCAGGATTCCATAAACAGGAGAGCACAGCTGCCTGAACACTTCCAGGGTTCAGTGGTGCTGAATGCCCTCACTGACTTGTGCGCTGTGGGTGTGTGATTGACAACTGCATAACTCTTACACTTGAAGCCATCACAGATTCTTGGCTCACAAAAACAACCAGTTGGGCAAGTATTCCGTTATGTATGTATTTATTCCTTTATCACTTTTTCCATAGTAATTTGCAGATTCAATATGCAAGTAGAACAGCTAGAGGTCAGTAATATAATTTTCTGTTCTGATTTTTATTAAAAAAACATTACTGGATTACCAAAATGCAAGTAAATATCTGTGACAGGAAACATTCTCTGGGCATTAAATATTTAATGGGGCAATTATCCTCTCCAATTGGGGAGACAGATAGGGAGAAATTCTATCTTAATGTGAGATTAACTGCAAAAAATCAGAATATAAGTTGTTCATGTGGTTAGGTAGTAACAGTTATCAAAACCAATTTATTGTGACCATATATTTCACAGGACATGGACCCTATCCAGAGAACTTTTTTTGTTGGGCTTAGCTGAGCTATTAAAAGGTTCTTTTACCTTTGTCTTTTCAAGCACGTTCACATTGCAATCTTCAACCTGGGGCAAAAAACTCTCAGCCCGGGGCGAAGTGCTGCATGCAAGAAGATTTCAAAATTTTGGAACACTTCACATTTGTCTCTTCTATGTGCTTTTTTTATCATTGTTGGTGATGCCATAAGTGTCATTCTAATGTAACCTCAAAAAATGGGCCTTGCACTGTGTGTCTGTGCTGATAGCAAATTAGCTTTTTTTTGCAAAAACAACACAACTCTGTACAGTATGCTGTAAAACATAAAGAGAAAGAATAATCACTCTTGATGTTGGATATCAGTACACTGACTTATTACTTTTGCTACTTGTGCCTTTGTAACTGTGCTCAACCTAGGATGAAAATAGTAGCGTGAAATTACTCCCAGTCGCAGGATAAACTCTGTATGTTGTAGTGCAAGGCAAAATTCGAGCAGGGGTCAAATCAAAGTAAAGACCAACCCAGGGAGATTTGACCTAAGATTAGAAAGACATGTGTAAAGAGAGAAGCTCAGGAGGGAGCAGCATAATCTCCTACAAAGTTAAAAAGGAAACTAAAATGAGATGTCCTCACAGAGCTATATCAGGGTAGCACCCTCCTGGTGCACTTACAAAATATCGATATGTTTTGAATTTCTCAGTTATGGAAACAATTTGGGATTTTAAGACGACAGTTTAATTTTTAAATCCTTCTAGGATTTAAACACGGCGGAGTGGTACAGATATACTGTGGCTTTGATGAATCTGTTTGTAAGATTGTTTTAAAAAACAAAGCTGTCTCAATTTGCCAAAAATAAATCAGTTTTAAGTTTAATTTAATTTCAACCATTACATGCCAAACAGCTGTTTAAGCATGGTGACTAATCTCAAGGAAACATCTGGTGATGGAATTAAAATGGACCAAATTATTATTAAAAAAATTAAACACAAAAAAAGACAGTTTGTTAATGGTAGGATCACACTATCTTGAAAAAGCTAAGGACGACAAATAAGCCTTTAGCCTTTAGTTTTAACGAAGCAGTGGGATACTGTTTCATTGAGTGATTGATACAATAACTTGGAAAGTAAGAATTTAGCTAGATTAGATTGAGTCCATAACTCACATCATCCAGTTTATAACAAGTTCTGCTGAACTAGACCTCACACAGCCATTCTGATTGCAGAGTGAATAAAAAACTCTTCACAGTTCTCATCTAAGAAAGAGTACAAGCATGATATGAACGTTAGGACCAACAGTGAAGCAGACATTATTTACAAGAATTTCGGACGGAATCCTTAGAGTGTGCAGGGCCTTTTAGACTTGCATTGAAATAATTCAATTCTCAGACCACTGAAAGGTTCCATGAAATATTCCAATTCATGAGATCCAAGTATATGAGCTGTTAAATAATCAGTGATTTGTGCTGTACATCCATCAGCTTTTCTGTAAAGAAGGGCCACTGGGTCATCTTGGTCAGACACAGAGTTTCTGTTTTACGGTGAGCGAGATAAATACAGTGAAATGTGCCAGAGTAATTTTAAGCATCAGAAATTGATCAAGTGAGGTACTGGCACCAGTGTTAACAGACTGCAAGACTAATGAAGCAATATTTGTCCTATTTCTTCTATGGAAGAGAAGGCACAGCCGTGATACAGGATTTATAGTTAATTGGGTAAGGGAAATGAGCTAAAATTTATTACAAATGGAGTGGAGAGCTAACTGTTACGTCATCTAGGAATAAGGTGGGCGTCCAGGAAAGTATTGTAAGGAATCTCCATTCCTTTTTAAAAATGTAAGTATTTAGCAGCAGACAGAATTATATCTGCAGGTCAACAAGATATTTTAATAAGTTAATTAGTAGCTTGTTCATTAGTGTGTACATATTTTACATTAAAGTAATTTAATAATGAATGCCATTTTGATTAATGTCAAAATGAATGGTGTGCCTGTCTCTAATACCTTCAGTTTCCATTTGGGATTTACAGTAAGTGCATTAGAAGCTATTACTTCATCTCCTAAGAAAACATTCTATGAAGTACATCTATGAAGGACTTACAAAGAGATTAAGACCCATAATGACTGAGACTTAGGCTAATTCAAGATTTCCTATTCAGTCCAGTAGGATTAGTGCTGTACAACTGCAATTCATTAAACTTTATCTAGAGTATCTTTTTTTAAACTTCTTAATGTCAGCTCTGGCTCAGAATTCTTAAGACTTCCTGAGAAATCCAAAAGAAAGATTGCTTCTGATTAAAAGGAGCAGTAAACAAACATGAGTGATTTTAATTATATAATTAAGTAAACTGTTTTTTTTTACAGAATTTCTGTTCAGAAGAAACAGATAACAGAATACATGTATTGTAAGAGCATAGTCATAGTAATAATGACTATTTTTACACACATGTGTCTTGTTTTGTAGTTCGCATTGTTATCAGTGAGATGGCATTCATGAAAACCAGGGATGAAGATGAAACAGCCAATCTTATCTGGAATGACTCTGCTGTGCAGCATGAGAAGATTGCTGAGCTCAGGAACTACCAGGTATGTAACATCTGTTTACATCAATTAACTTCCTAGTATGATTGCAGTATATTTTATTCAGTCGCTTCTGTCCATGTGATACATAAGAGGAAGAAGACCGAGTACAGTATCTTATAAGTAATGTAATTTTATAAGTAATAATGTTATAAATAATGTATTTTTAAACATTTTGTTTGCCAAATATTATGAAAGAGAATGCAATGACTTAGGTATTCTGCATTTACTTTTGTATGAATATAGTTCATACCATACAGTTCATACCAAGTGTTTGAACTGAGGAGAACGGGTGTTCTTGTTAAAAAAAGTGTTCACCTTCTTACAAGAAATGATTCCCCACTTTTATGCTCCAGGTTAGCAGCCTGTGACACTGCTTTACCAAGCAGCTCTGATGATGTGATGATTTGTGTTCAATGTTTAAATATGTTCCTCCATCCTTTTTTACGTTTGTGACTAAAACACTGTAATGTTCAGTGTGTATCTCTACAAGAAGTGTATGTACTGTATGTGATCTGTTTTGTTCTGTAATTGCTCAGAAGATAAGATCACTTTATTGCCCATATGTAATTTTTTGTATTAGGAATTTGTCTTTTTGCATACCACACCTTGCTCTCCACAAGACACACAGACAGGGAGAGAGAAGCTTGGGGTCAGAGCACAGGGTCAGCCATTTATACGACGCCCCTGGAGCAGCTAGGGTTAAGGGCCTTGCTCAGGGGCCCAACAGAGTAGGATTTCTCTGCCAGCCACAGGATTCGAGCCAGCAACCTTCCAGCCACAGGCGCAGATCCTGAGCCACAGAGCCACCTCTGTGGCTACACTCTCTCTGTTGTAGGGTGGGGTATAAATACAAATTAATCACATAGTTGTTAAAAAAGCATTACAAAGATAGTTCCCCTTTAGCACAAATTCTCATAAGGACAGAATATTGTTCACAAAATACTGCTCTGAGCAACCCATTACTGCAAAACAATGATTTCTTTCTGGAAGAGCAGTATTTAATGGCCATTATGAGGGATTTAGTGCTAACATGTAACAATAGAAAAGAAGAATGTCAGTTTTTAGGGGACATTTTTGTAAGGCCTCTGTCAGGAAGTAGTGTGTTGAGAAGGAGTGTGTAATTGAGAAAGCTAGGCCAGGCATGATTGAAGACACACGATGTATACTTCAGTCTGCTGGGTGTTTAACCTTCAGTTGTTCCACAGACAAACTAGAGATTCAGAAATAGAAACAAAAAATGCTGAGTGTTGAAAACAAAATGAAGATGTAGCTATTTTTCCAAAAGCTTCCCTTGTAACTCTGATATCTTCCTGACAGTCTGAAGGTAGTGCCTGACAGCCTTGGAACGCAAGCAAAGTTTCACCATGTTTACCAGTACCAAGATTTCTTATACAGTAGTTTCAGCACATCTTCACCACTAGAATTTTATGGTGTGGCCAGTTGGAAAAATGAAAAAAGTCACTACATGAATTAAAATTATATAATAAAAAATGGAAAACATCTTAAACACCCCATTGTTGATGAAAATCACTTTCAGAATAATCCATCTAAATTGCCTTTAAAGGTGAAACATCAGTATGAGTATGATTCACATTTGGTGCTAGAAATGAATCCTTATACAGTAGGTACATGGATGGCTTTTATGGACATGTAAAGTGTCCTGCATAACTCATCGAGACCTGTGGGGTTTCATTAGTTATTATAGGTGCAGAATATATTCTGTGCTACAGTACAAGAACCTGGATAGAAAGTGCTATTAGAATTTCTGTCTCCCCTGCCCCTGCCTGAATTGCTTGCTGCATCTGTGTGCCTTATCAATTTGGAAGGTATTATGATTTGGCTAGACTTGGATTGTTCCCAATTTAATTTAGAATTGCAGTGTCAGCTGAGATAAAGCATCCATAGCTCCTCCCAGCTGTCCATTTAAAGTCATTTCATCTGACAGATCTTTTGTCAACTATGCTGAGCAACGTGAAACTAAAAGATAGTCACAGCAAGAGACATTTTAATTTACTGGGTATAACATGCATGTTTCATCTGTCTTTAAGCTATTTTTGCTGGTGTTATTAATAGGTGGCAGGTAGCTGAAATGACTTGACTGAACACAGTTGTGTGCCTCTCAAAGCTTCACAATACAAAATGCATTATAAAATATGGTCTGGTAGCCTTTCTGTCCAGCAGTTTGTTTCAGTTTGTGATGCTTGTGTGGGACAGGTCTCTGAAATTAGAATTTTAATGTCCAAATTGGCTTAATTATTGTCCTGGATCCCACTTAATAGCTTTTTCGATGATTTGTCTTCTTGCCAATTATGAAATAAGGACGTTTTTTTCACAAAGTTGTTTCTCATGTTTTGATACCATCTGCATTTTTATTTTATTTAATTAATTTAATTTAATATATCTGCTCCATGGTATTTGAGTATTTATCAGGCTAAATCTCTTTTCTTTGTTCTGATGCTCTTGACTGTCCTAAGAAAGCAAGAAGGGGGGGTGGGGGGACAAACTATACCAAAGTCACAGATCCGCCAAGGGAAGAGAAGAGGGTCTCACAGTATGGTACAGTATCTATTTTTTCCTTCTGGTTTAGCATCAGGGATAGAGGGCAATTGTGGTACTCTATTAAGGAACAAGGTTAATGATGTAATTTCTATTGCTGGTTTTCTTTCTTTACATTCCTACTATGCGGTTGCTTTGTGCTTTAATCATTCAAGACAGTGGGCATTCCTCTTCGGCACTGGATCAGGTCTCAGATACTTACAGTGAATGTTCCTGTTTTGTCTTGGACAAAACTGGGGATTAAACCCTCCTACCAAATGGGCTGAAAACAGCCATAATCCAGAAAACTCATTAGAATCATGATGTTTAGAAATTTATTTATAAAGAATTTATTACTGTATGGCAGCAAAGCCTCCTTATCTGCAGAGAGAAAAAACAAAGAGCCTTGATTGCATTCCTCAGTATGTTTTATAGTTTTAAATGGGCTGTTATGGGAAATTTTAAATGTGAGCATTTTTAAATATTAATATTTCATGTAAAGTGCTAGTTTATATCCCTGCAGTGTTTAAACCAGATTTTGTAACCTGTGGACTGAATCCCAACTGGAATTTGCTGGATTTCTTATTATTCTGGGAGCAGACAGGAGTCATGTGCGAGTCAGTGATGAGTGGTGTCATGAACTGTATACTTGACAAATCCTAGTTGAAGCAGATAAAAGTCTGGTCTTTGCCATTTGCTGCATTGAGAAATTGTATGTCCAATCTGGGTGTGGTATTGTAATGTATGTGTTTAACCTCTAAAAACCTCAGTTCAACTTGATATAAATCATACTAAAGTAATGGCTATGTTTTTTTCTGTGATAGCCTTTGCTATTCTTTCACTGGATCCTAAGAAGACTTTTAAACAGCTTGAGTTCTAAGGTTGGTAAAATTTGTAGCCAGATTTGTAGTTGTAAATTTGTAGTTCTAGATTATTTGGGTTTAGGATCAAGTTTCATTAATAGTTAAAATTAATACAATAACCCTTAAATCAGTGGTTGTAACAGATGTTCTTCCCGGATTGTTGTCAACAGTGTCACTCTTCAGGGATGCTCATTTCCACCTCATTGTCTGCAAAACCAGTAGTTCAAGGAGTCCATTATTGCAGTATTTTATACTTCTTTTTCTGTTAACACTATTCAAAACAGCATGTAGAGGTTAGTTCTATGATGTTAATATATTATATGTAAATCAAGTCTTGCAGTCTCAGAAGCTATCTACTTTAGGGATTTTGGTATTTTATCAGGATATAAAACAAATTTTACCAAGTCACAGATTACTTGCATTAAATAGAGCAGTCGAGAATTGCAGTGGCCTACCTCTGATTGTGCCACTCATCAGACACTTCAGATATTTTGGTATTTGCTCTTTACTGCTGTCACAGTAAACAGCTTTAGAAATTTGGAGAAATTTTGTAAGCTGGTAGACACTGACAGCTGTACTTCTTTTCCCAGTTGGCTTCAAGCTCTCATTTCCTTTATAAAAATGAATGTGTTTTTTTGCTAGATCTTTTTTTAGTTCTTAGATTCATTTTTCTTACTCTTTAGGCTATTGGAATAGATTGGCTACTAGAATGTTCCAAACTCATATTGAAAATAAATTGACCAGGTATTAAATTAGCCTTTCTACACTATGAGAGATCTGAAGGGGACCTAGTTCTTTAAATTTTAAATTTAATTTCTACTCCTTTGTTTTGCAGCCATTATCTGGCAGGTTTAATCCTGACACTTCTGTGTCTTGGTGTTAACATGAGGAAAGTCTAATCTCTTCATATAGATTTCAAGATTTAATTTATAATAGTCTCCCCCCAGACATTGTAGATTTAGGTCCCATAATTAAGCAATTAATTACAACATGATACCTGATGGAAAGATTTGTAAATAGAGAATATGCCATTCTTTTATTTCCATTCTAAAAATCATAAACACTAAAAGGTAATTCCCTGTTTTTGCTTTATGCTGGAGCCACTATTTTTAGTGAGATGGCCCCTCTCATTTCAGTATGAGCTGCCTAGCTGGTTTGTGAACTCCTTATTTTGGATAAAACTAGCAGCTGTCCCTATATGGAATAAGAACAGGAATATTACAGGTGGGGAAATTATTCTAATATAAATTTGGCTTCTAGAGATTTTAATAATTAAATAATGTACAGTACCTTCTATTGTCTTCACAGTGAATTCATGACACTGTGATGAAAATGTATATACAGTAAAACTGATTTTTAATCCCTAGTGTATACTTTATTGGTTGGGTTGTGGACCTTTCTACATGGCTTGGGACTGTCCAGATGCGGTTAAGTTTTTTAAATAGATTTCTTCTTTCTCTCTAATTTAAAAAAGGTTTTTTCCCGTCTTATAGGTTCTCACATAGTACCCTTGTCTAATCCTGGCCTCTCACAGCAATAAAAAGACAGATCTAGCTGGCTGCCCACAGCAAAAAATATGTTGGTCCTGCAGTGGTAGCTCATCAGATTTCATATTTTAAATTTTACTGCTTGGATACATGATGCTGAGAAGTGGTGGGTATCATGATTGTAATCCCTCCCCCTTAGGGGCGCTCCGGCTCTTTCACATTTTACCTGATCTCCTGTTCCAGTCTCCCCTTTAAAAGCCAGACCCTCCCACTAATCCAGGCTCAGTTTTGGAAGATGGGCACCACAAGGCTTGCTTATTTTCCGGGTTGTCCGAAGGCAGGCCTTTTCCCCGGGGTCTTGACCATCAGAGTCTGGGGCTTGGAGCGCCTGACCCCGTTACCCTTTTTTATTTTCCCGACCCTTTGCCAGATCCCGCTCCAGCTTTTAACTTTGTCTCGTCTTTGTCACGAATGGACAACCCAGTTTAGGACATTTGCATCCCCTGGATTTCCTACGAACACCCCTCAGACTTGTTTGCATTAGACTACACCTCCCCGAGCACTGGCGCATCTTGGACACGCCCCCCTGTACTTCTTCCAGCCCCTATCCTAGTCCTTTTTTCCCCATGTTTCTCACTCCCCTCCGGATTATGCCATCTGCATAGGGTCCTGAAAGGCGCTTCGTAACAGTGGTCTTGGAGTGTTGGAGTTGATACAGTCAAATTTCTATGTGGTGGTATTCATGTGATATCTCACTAATTTGTGTTTGTGTCTCATTAATTTGTGTGAAGCCTGTAAGGGAGTAACACTGACAGTGGTGGTGGAGGAGGTGTAACTCTGTTTTCCAATTGTTTAACTGTTTACCATTTCAGAACTGATTCAGAATTGATTCTGAAACAAATACTGTAGCAAAACTGGTGAAAAAAAATACATTTGTGGTGTTTTGGAAATCTGCCATTTTTAAGGTTTTGCAGACAAAAAATACAACTATTGTTAATTGATTTAACTGTCCGCTTTAGATTGATTCTTCTTGAGCGTCCTGTCTGAAAAAGATTTTGAATTTATTCTTTTACTGAGGAGGAAGGCCGTAAATAACTGATTGGTTGTGAAAGGGCGACAATGTCTGACACTTCTAATTCATTTATTCCAAATTATCCAAATAATAATTTGGACAGTAACGACTAATTAAATAATGAAACAGCGAACCTGCAAGGAATGGATTTCTTGCTCCTACAGAGAAAACTGCTCTGAGCTTCTGTATATAAAATGTTATTGAAATAGTCAGCACTTCATTATTTTATGCATATTGTATCATATTAGGGATCACTTAGCTGTATTGTACTCAAATATCACTGTAGTTCTTGATTCACATTCCTATTTTTACTTTACTCTCATGGTATTTCTCACAGCATAGGAAAGCACTTCTCCAAAAAATTCAAAGGGTTGTTTAAGATCCCAAAGTCCTAATTACAAAAGACTCATCCGGATAACAGAGATACCTTTCATACTGTGAAATGCGTGTCCTTGTTTTTTTTTCCCAGTGATTTACTCTGAAAGTTTGCTGTCAGGCTGCAGTTCACATGAGCCTAATTACAAGCCCTGTTCAGCCTCATTTGGTCAAAGAACACAGAATCCCAGTTTTTTTTTGCATTCAAAGCAATTCATTCATCTGTCATTGCCTACAATTGCAGGAGCTCTGATGCAGAACCAATTATGATGCCCTGAGGAGCAGAAATTGATCGTCTTTTTTCTTTTTTAATTAAAAAAGATGTGGTAAACTAAATTAGGGTTAAGAAAGGTCTTACAGTCACCTTTTGTTTTGAGCTCATAATTGGCCAAAAATGTCAGAACATTGTAATCTAAGTTATTTGAGACATATTTCATGTTTTGTTTTCTACACCATTTAAGTTAAAAGAAAACGAGAGCTTTAACAACAGGAATTTCTTTACTTTCAATACAGAGAATTAACCATTTCCCAGGAATGGGAGAGATCTGCCGGAAGGACTGCCTTGCAAGAAATATGGCCAAGTAAGATTAATGAAAAAAATGCCATAAATGTGAGATTGGATATGACTACATATGAATACAGAAGACTATGGATCATATACTTCAATCATTTGCCTTTGTTTGAATAATTACATCTATTTGATTTCTAAGGAGCAAATGCCACTTTGAGTCTTTAATTTTTTCGCAGTTCTTTTGCAGTGCTAATTTAAGAATGAACTAGACAATCGAACCTCTTGTTATTGATTTCTAACACCTGGAGTTTATTTTCCCTTTTACAAAGCAGGTTTCTATTATGGGTTATAAACATACTGTAAGTATAGCTGAAATCTGCTTATCACTGCAATTAAATGTAGCTGTTCAATGCAGGTTTTATCCTACTCTTTTAATAAAGAAAAATGCATTTGTTAACTTCAGCTATTGTGATTCTTAATGATAAAATGTTTTACATTAAAGAAGGATTGAATTAAGACAGTGGTTCTCAAACTTTTTGGACTAAGTACCACCCCTAATCCAACCAAAGCGTCCAAGTACCACCTACAAGTCATCTTCTCATAGGAGAAATTATTATAATAATAAACTTAATTTGATATAGCGCCTTTAAAGGTGGCTTCTCAGAGTGTTTTACAGAAAAAAAAAACATTAACAACAACTAATAAAAAAGCACCATTTCAGTGAGAGGGGTGAGCCTGTTTAGTTGAGCAAAGCAGATGTGAATTAATTTTTCGAGCCTTGATACAGTTCACAACGGAGTCTAACAGATATTAAATCGTCAGGCATTTTCTTGACGGCAAAGATCTCGCGGTGGATGTTGTAATGCGTACATTAATTTCTGGAGCAACCAATCTAATTCGTGCCGAATCTTATGTCAATCTTATGTCGGCCTGTCATTGCTCTAGCACCGTCTGTACAAACTCCTACGCATTTTATCCAATCGAGGCCATTCTCTTCGATAAATTCATTCAGAAGCTGAAATATGTGCTCTCCTGTAGTTCCTTTTGGTAGCGGTTTACAGAACAGTAAGTCTTCATGGGACATGCCCTCAAACTCGTATCTAACGTAAACGAGCAAATTGACCAAATCGACTACAGACTCATCTAATTGCAGTGAAAAACATCTGCTCATCTTAACGCGCTCTATCAGTGTACTTTTGATATAATCCTTCATTTCAATAATTCTATGAATGACTGCGTCTTTCAGGGGGAGGGGGGCAGCAGGTCGAGCTGTTTAGCAGCCTTTTCTCTACACATAATACGTGTCAGCTCCTTTGCCAACGGTAAATAAGGTTCTTCAAAAATAGTGTACAGTAGCTTACCTGCTTTAGCAATCCGCAAGCTTGCATTTTTCCGCGTTTCCGTTTTTATTTCCGTACTTATTTAAAGTTTTTATTTCATGCGCATGGGAGCGAAACACAGAGAAGCTCGGTGTATTTTTCTCAAATTAGAACAGTTCTTAAATATTTTTCTGTTATCAGGCTTTCGTGTGCTCACAAGATGACCTGCGTTCGTAGCACGCATTTCTAAGCATTCCTGTGTTTACAACGTTAGCATTGTTCCAAAATCACACACATTCTCCTTTCTCCTTATTTCCTGGAGATACAGTAGCTTTTTTAAATACAATTGGCCATTTGCATCCGTAGCACGCATTCCTATAGAGTGGTATAGAATTACAGAGTATCTCTTGTGCTGACTGAAGAATTAGCGTGCACTGTATCGTAGTACGTAGGCTGCGTATGCGACACGTATTAAAATACAAACCCATCCCGATTTTTCAGCACACACGACACAGTTCTAGGGTCATTTGGCGTACCACTTGGCGGCACGCCACGTACCACTGCCGGTACGCGTACCACAGTTTGAGAACCACTGAATTAAGACATTAGTCAGTATTCTTACCCATTATTACTCTTTAGTACTGTAAGTTGGTGAAAAACATTGGTGACACATAAAATGATAGGAATGTGGAATCTTTGGTCCCGTTTTGAAAATCTTTGTACTTTTCTTTATTTGTAGTTTCTTTACACTGAAAATATTTGTATCCAAAGATGAGGATTTTCTGTTTTTGGTGGAATAGATGTTATTTTCCTAGTAAATGCAAAAGTGTTAAGAGGCTAACTGATACAAATTTGTGAAACACATTTAAACTGCTTGACTACTGCTCACACTCACTTTTTTATTTAAACAAAGGGATGTAAGACAGTGATGAACCATCTTGGCAACAAATGTTTAACCTTATACAAACTATTGAATAAGAAGGACTGGAAACTCGTGTTAATAATTTAGTTTATCTAAAGCTGAGCATAATTTCTCTTAGAGATATGCTGTATGACAATCTCCTGATTGATCTCATCATGTTACTGTCTTCCAGCCATTTGAAAATAGTCTGTTTCTGCTTCCTCCCCTGTGTCTTCAGAATGATAAAAAACCAGCCTCAGGATTACAGCTTTATTCCCAAAACCTGGATCTTTCCTGCCGAGTACACTCAGTTCCAGAACTATGTGAAAGAACTGCGCAAGAAACGCAAACAGAAGACGTTCATTGTGAAGCCAGCCAATGGAGCCATGGGTCATGGGTAGGACACAAATGAAAGGGTCTGACTGTCCTGTACACACTGGATAGCTGTCCAGTGTTGGAAACCAAAGCCGTGTTTTACTGGGCCGTTATGCAAAAGACTAGAGTAATTATTGTAATAGACCTGATTTTCCTGCTGGAGTGGTTATTCCCTACCATCAAGGCAAGGATGGAGTCACAGGCAGACCATTCCCTGAAGGTCTCAGTTTGTAATTACCGTACCCCCTTATCAAAATCGGTGAAGAGTAAGATCAAGACTGGTTCAGGTTATAAATAGAGTGTGCAGTCCTATCCTGCTGTGACACTATTCTGTCATTGACTTAAGAGATTGTAAGAAAGATATCAGGAACTCTTTCATGAAGTCATTTGTTAAAACCTCAGATCTTAGCAAAGGTCTATGTTTCCTTAAATGGTTTAGTCTATCTGCAGTACATATGCGTGCCATTCTTTTTTTCACAATTATCCAGTTAGTCCTTTCAGTTTTTACATGACTCCTACATTTCTCTTGATCACCTCTTGTTTCGACATAGCTGGTTAGTTATCATACTTTCTGACAAGCAAAAAGAGGTTCAGAAAATGTTTCTGAAGAGCACAGGCTTCACACAAGGGAAGTGAAAGAATGTTACTCCTTGTCTATTTATCTGTTATTAAAACATCAGATTGTAACAACTGAAATGTGGCTCCAGGTCATTTCCTACCGTTTGACTTTGAGAAGTCTTTCAGAAAATATTTGTGCTGGGTTATTTACATAGTATGAAAAATAACAGACACAGCAATAGAAGTCCGCAAAAAACATGCGCAACAAATGAGAGATGAAATCAACAGCTCCTTTAGCAGCTGTTTATGTACTTAATATCATATTGCAAAATGTCAGGTGAGTTATTGTGCAATGTTATACAGATGTCTTTTGAGAAGGAAATCACATAATTGTAACTGAAAAGCAGATACATTCATTGACATTAATTTCTTGGCAAGCCTCTTGGCAATCTAACAAGAACAACCAAGAAACTGCGAGAATTGACAGGTGTAGTTACTGATGTCTGAAGGGGCAAGAGATCACAGTCAATCAAAGAATCGTGTGCAGCTCAGACTCCAGATTTGCTATTTCCTGTATGTGTACCATTAATCTGTACAAATCAGGACAGTAATGTCAGAAGACAGTGAAACCTCCTCTGTTGATTTCGAAGCAGCTTTTCACACACGTCACAATACATAGTAGTGGCCAAAATAAGAGTCAAGACAATTATGACAAGATTTTTTTAGCTTTACTGTCATTTAGATAGATTGCAAGTAAAGAGATTATTAACAGAGTCATGTTACTTGAGGCCATTATTTACGAAAGAAAAGGAACTGCAAAGACTGAATTATTCAAAGACTTTAAAGCAGTGTAGGTAATTGAAAATGAGTTTAGCACTGGCTTTTGGTGAGGGGGTACTGAAAGATATTAAATTGAAATTCCCTCTGCAGGACACAGAAAATTAAGTTATATCTCAGTAATTTATTCTCAGACAGAAAGCTAAATGAAGTTATTGTTTGCAGCTTCACTGAAGCTGGTTAAAAAGTGTCAGGTTTAAATACAAGATCTCGAACGGGGCCAATTAAACATCAAGCGAAACTGTTTTGATTACCTGACATCGGTGCCTCATCAATCATGTCTTCTAATTTACTGCAAGAACAAGTGCCAGTTTAATCCTGTCCATTCTCCCACTCACTCAAAAGATTCCTATGCTCCTGAAGAGTTTGTATTAAACCTTTCAATGTCGAGAGTCCCGTTTTTTCCAGATTCTGCATTTTAAGTTCCTGAAATTTTGTATTTTAAGGATCCTGAAAATTGGCTTCCTGTGCAATTAATAATTCTAAAAGGAAAATTAATAACAAGATTACTCAAAATTGTTGTCTCTTATTTTTCTCTTTAATTCTAAAAAAATACTATCAATACATCAAAACTAAAACAGTTTATTTTCTTCATGCTTTGCGTACTTAAGTCATTCTTTTACTTGTGTCCATTTATTTGCATAAGGACCTTTGTTTTACTGACACCAAATATGGACGAAATAATATACTGTAGCCCAGTGTTTGAAGGCTTTTTCTAGATTTATACCTTTAAAACAAATGCCACTTGAAATTACAAACATATTTTTCTAACCAAGGAATTTAAACAGTGATATCCTTTTGTTTAAACACCAGTTTTCTCCAGTAAATATACAGTGAATAGTAGAATTACTGCCATTGCCTTATTTTTTAATGTAAGTCAATGTGGGAGATTCTTAATGTTTTTTTCATTGGTAAAATGAAAACCTGAAAGTCTTTTATAGTCTATTGTTTTAAAGCCTGTTCTTAAAAGAAAGTGTGTTCAACCTTCTTTGCATTAAGTGTGATCTGCATATTTTCTCAGCTGAATGCCATTGGCAAGGGGCTGAATGAAATAAACCATTGCAGCAGTTGATTTTGACCTGTGTCCCACTATTGGTTAATCTGTAAACTATCAAAAAACCCAGTTAACAGCAATGAAACAGAAATCAGGGCTCTGTCTTGACCTGCTTAGTGTAAAGCAATCAGGTTAAAAGCTGGCCTCATACTGCCTGAAATCCATGACTTCCCTCTGGGAAATGTAGTTCCTGTCTTCTTATTCCATCATAGATTTGTATAGGAAGATATAATTCCTATATATTATTCATAGGAACCCATTACTTTTTTCTCACTTAGGTAACAAATTTGTTCATTATCATACAGGATCTCCTTAATAAGAAACTGTGAGAAGCTTCCAGCCCATGACCACTTCATTGTCCAGGAGTACCTTGACAAGCCCTTCCTCATGGAAGGGTACAAGTTTGACCTGAGAATTTATATCCTGGTCACTTCCTGTGACCCTTTGCGAATCTTCCTTTACAATGATGGACTCGTGAGGATGGGCACAGAAAAGTATCATGCGCCCAGTGAGTCCAACCTGGTAAGAAACCCGTCTGCCAGATGTGACTCATTAAAAATTGAGGGCTGTTTCCCCAAGGGGCTGTGGTATCTGGCACTTCTTGTTCTCACGTTCTCAAAGAGGATTCTTTTCCACACTTGCTGATACCTGAGAGTGAGAAGTGTCAAAGTGAGATTAATGAAGTGCACGTTTTTCACTGTTTTAACAAGGAGGGTGGATGAGAAAGGTGGGGAGGGTAATTAAATTGGAGTCAGGTGTCCATATAGTGCTGAAAATGAGTTTAAAGGTTTGGGTGTCTATTTGTCTATGGTATGTATTGCAATAAATATGTCCTTGTCCCATTTTGTCAATGAGCTCCCGTCTATCAAAGTAGTAGAAAAAAAAACCTAACCATCTTTAAATACAACTTACTGAAATGACTCATGGGTGCTATCTCTTTTATTTGCAGTTAAGCTGAGGAGATTTAGGTTCACTCCAAGGCTCCTGACATCTAGAATAAGCCCATGCCAGTTTGAGTCGAGAAAGTGTATTATGCTGACTTTTATTATACTACTTTTGAGGATTAAAAAAACAGAATCTTTGGCTAAGATGTTAAAATCTTGACACTTCTCAAAACCCATGTGATGTAATATGAAATTATTAAATGATACAGATTGATTTTTTTCAGCTAAGCATTTTATTGTTGAACATGTATATAAAGGTACTTAGTTTTGTAGGAGTTTAGGAATCTTTCTCAATCTAGCAACCATGTTAATTCTTTGCTTTCTAACTTTATGTTTACCCAGAGTCAGCTGTACATGCACCTGACAAACTATTCTGTGAACAAACACAATGAAAACTTTGAAAGGGACGAGACAGCTGACAAAGGCAGTAAGAGATCGATCCGCTGGTTCACAGAGTTCCTCCGCACCAATGACTACGACGTGGCCAAATTCTGGGGTGACGTTTCTGTAAGTGAGCCCCTCAGACGTAAAGCACGACTAACTAGTTAATACTGTACCAACACCCCAATTAATATTTTGTACTCCTAAATACTCATTCATAGGTTATCTTTTTTATTTTGAAATATAAATTACATTTTTAAATTTATATTAAAATTTTAAACTCAAATCAGTACCTTTCTTAAAATATATTAGAATCTAATATGTATATACAGTGTATAAAAATATATTATTAACATCGTACTGTAATTGTCTAAACAGTGCTACTTTTTATTTTCTTTATTATGATTGCTGCCAAGTTCCTTAATTGTATTTCATACATATTTTGAACACGTCCAAAAAAAACAAAAACAAACTTTTAATATTTTTCATGAAAGGACAAGAAGATGTTTTGCTAAGCAGTGTTTGGATGGGTTGTTTAATACACGGATTGCCCTTTTCTACTGGAATAAAAATGATTGCAACATTCAACATTCAGTACCTGATTTTGTATTCTGTTAATTTATGACCTGTGTTTTCACTTAGGATTAAAATAAGTCAGTGCAACTCATGTACAGCCTAAAGGAATTAAATCTCATGTTTCTTTTTTTTTAAATCCTGTTGTTTTGCTGTAGCACATGGCAATTTGGCTGTGATATTTCACAATAAATGTGTTTGTTTCGCCAAATCATATCATTTGTAGGAAAAGGATGTATTTAAACATTCCTGGCCAGATTTCTGAAATGGCTGCATGACGGTATTTCCTGTGTTTGTGTTGGCATGGCAACAGGAGCTGGTGGTGAAGACCCTGATTGTGGCCGAGCCCCATGTCCTCCATGCCTATCGGATGTGTCGTCCTGGTCAGCCTCCTGGAAGCGACAGTGTGTGCTTTGAAGTCCTAGGATTTGACATCATTTTAGACCGGAAGCTGAAGCCATGGCTTCTTGAGGTAGATATTATGACAAGTGTTCCTGTTACAACTTCATTTATCCATTATCTATGTTTGTTTAATGTTGTGGTTTTTGGTTAAATTGGTCTGTTATCAGAATATCCCACACTCTATGAAGGAAAGTGCTACTTTAGTTTGGGAGTACAACTTACTGTCTTAAACCCAAACCTGAAAAAGTTCCTACCCCTTTTCGGTGTGAACCCAAATTCTTGGTTCCCTTTCCAGTGCCTTATTGGATTTGTACCATCATTCAAACGGCGGAAGGAATTTAATGTGGTGACATTTTCTCAGTTACTATAAATAACTATGCTTTCTGATCATTAGAAACTGATCCAGAACACTCTGGACCATTAACATTCTGGAGCCTATTATATAAAGAAGGCTTTTTAAAAAGCTTTTCTCGATGTACACTAGCAAAAAAACAGCTATGAAAAATTGCAGTCTGATATGCATAGGAAAGATAGCCATCTTTTCTTCAGATTCATCTGTCACGTTTTAATCAGGAAAAAAAAGATTAATGCAACACTACTGTCAGTAATAAAATGTCTCCTTAAGTAGATCTCGCTATGTACATTTATCAGCCTTACATCACAATTTACTGCCTCTTAAGAACTCTTTTGCATATAGTCCTGCTTCTGTTGCACTTCACTATAAATAGCCCTTGTTTGTCACTTTCTGCCACTCTGTGGAAACACAGGCAGTTGGAGCACAGAGCCAGAAGCAAGTGCCAAGAATATAGGTCAGCAGCAGCAGGTTAACAATCTCTGCAGAGCCGTGTCCATGCCCATTTCTTCAGACTTAAGACGGTGTGTAGGCAGAGGTCCAGTAGAAATTTTCTAAACATTAATGCTGTTCTGGTTGTGGTCACTGAAAGTCTAACCAAGATCATTAAAACCCACAGTGACTACAGGACATGAAATTATTTCAATAACAACACTATTATAATATATATGTTATTAAAAAGATAAACTAAATATGTGGGAAAGCTGGTGATTAAATGGGGTGTTTTTGTCACATTTAATTGAATCATTGCTGAATGTGTCTTGCATTAAATCTTTTTTTTACATTTTTTTGTGGATGAACAACAAAGAGACATGAATAGAGACATGCTCAATTATTGTCAATGTTATTTCCTGGGTGATTCTATGCTCTGCATTAAAAAATACAAAAGCATTATGGTTACAGTTGTTATTCTACTGGATTTCTTAGCACAACTGCCTGCCCCCACAACGTTCCTCATTTAACATTAATGTGAGATCCCTCAAAAAAACATCTTCTTGTTACGGTACACTAAAACTTAGTTTAACAATATTGTTATAGCTCACACTCAGATGATTGATCACAAGATATTTTCAAGTGAACTGTCCTGTGTATTCATTCAATTGTACCAGATTAATGATACAGGCCATGGTTTATAGGGCAATCCTAATCATATTTCTTTCCCAGGGCCAGGAGACATTGTTACAGAAATATGTTATATAATCTCTTTTAGTAATCAGAAATATGATCCTTCTTACTTACATGTGGTAAGCAAAGTTTTTGAATGTGGGCTTTAGCTAACCTCCTGCAGTGCCCAGTTCACAATACATAACTACAGATTTCTTCAATGTATTTTTCTGCATATCTCACAGTCAGATAGCTTGGTTTGGGTATGTATTGTCCAAGATAAACAAACAAAGATCTAAGCTTTTTCCAAGCATTTCAAGTATTCAGACTATGTTTTATAAAGATACCATATTAAACATTACTTTTTACAACCATACTTCATTGGATGTTTCAGACTGAATATCTCATGTTACTTTTCTTTTTTGTCTCTGCATTTATTTGAAATGTTTTTTTAATTTAAATTTAATACAACTAGAAATGTCACAATGACTTCTCCCTTCCTTTTGTTAATTAATTTCTTTCTCAGTCGCTATCAACATCTTTCAAGAAAGCAACATGTTGCCAACAAGCCCAAAGAGGAAAACAAATTCTCTTAAGGGCAAATAAATGACCAATGTACCTGTAATGTAGATTAAATCTCAACAAAATGTGAAAGCATTTATTTTTTTAGCTTCTGTAAGTGCTTTATTTCGAGGAAACACTTCTGTTCATTCGCAAAAAATATCCTCCATTATGCACTGGTGTAAAGAAAACATAGAGGGATAAAAAAATCTGCATTCAGATTCCAAAATATATGGATGGACACTGATAAAGAATTGTTCATGCAATATCCCATTATTTCATTAATCTTTCATAAATGAATCAAAGATCAAATATTATCTTAAAGACTTAAATACTGAATGTAAAATAGAAGTAAAGTTTTGTGACCATTAGTAAAGTATTAGGGAGCAAAGGTGACGTTATTTCACCAGAAAAGTCTCTTGATTCACTTTTCTTTAAAAATATTTAATGAAGCTGTTTCTGGTAAAGCTGCTAGTTTCCATAGCTGAGACTATTTGCTATGCCAACAAAAGCAAAATATGGAACACATGTAAATCTGAGAAATAGGACTTTGAAAACAAGCAGATACAAATTGTGCATTTAAATTATGCTGTGTTTTGGGCTTGCTGCAATCTAGCTGCAAGATTATTTATTGTTTGATAAATCTGCTGTAATTTTCCAGTTGGCATAGCTGGTCTATAGTATACTTGTGGTGTTCAGCCTCATTAAAGTTGGGTTACTGCTTATTTGGGGTTTTACAAAAATACAGCTGCTTTTACAAATAAAATGGAGGGCAAAACAGAAAAGAACAAGTGTCTGGGGAAAGCAGGATAATTAGAGCCCTGCAAGGGCCCACAAGGTTTAACTCAAAGACAGTCTAGCTTGTTAGAAAGTGACTGCGGGCAAACCGGTGTGTGCTCATTGGGGTGCACAAACTGAAACATGTACTCTTATTCAGATCTTAGCAGGACTGAATCTATCCTTTATTTTGCAAACAAGAGATAATTTTTACCATGCTTGTTAAAAAAATACACATTTGTTTTTAGCTGTGAGAGGGGTTTGTTATTGGACCTGTAACCAATAAGTACTGCTAGTTAACTTTAGAGTGAATCTAGTCATTAGTATCTATTGATGCTTTAAAAGGGGAAACTTTGCCCTAATTGCTTGCCCTCTGGGGTGTGTGTGTGTGGACTGATTGGCACCTAATGAGGGAGGTCAGATGTGCTCAGAGTGTTTCTTGGGACGATGACAGCTCAGACTGCACCCTGCAGTGGTCTAAGCACTTTCCCTTCTGAATTGTTTCAAGATGAGTTTGTTTGTCCTTTTCTTAAAGCCAACACAAACCAGACTTCCCCTTCAGAATGAATGGAAATGATCTGCACCGGGAAGCGTAAACAAACGGGGTCTTTTCATTGCTCGCACGGACACAGTTTGATCTTGATGGGGTTCTCTTCACCAATGTGACGGCAATTTCCCCTTTGAATGGAGGTTCTCCGACAAACTAGATGGAACACTAAACATGGCTGCAGAACTGTAATTTTAGAAGTTTCCTGCTGACCACTCCAATTCCAAAGTGTCTTTTCATTCCTTATCCTTCACTGTTGAAATTTTGCAGTAAAATCTAAATGGATCATAGTTGCACAGTGGTCCAGTACAAAAAAGTAATCAAGCAGCTATTACTAGATTTTATAATAATGTGACTCAAAAAAGATCAGTTCCAAATAAATGGGGTTAGTGGATGCCTTTCTGGGCTGGTCATTTTGTCGATCACAGAATGACAGATACCTATATGAAGCATAAGATGGATGTTAAATTACTTGTGTCACGAAAAGCACAACTTTCAAATAGATGTTCAGAGATAGAGAAAACATACATGAAGCCATACATGAATTGTTACAAACCTGAAGATTAAGTAATACTGTAACTATTATCATAATGGCGAATATAAACTTTAAAGCACCATACAGCCAGTAACTGTCACTGCTGTACTATACAGTAGTTAGTGTACCTTTGTTTTTTTAATTGGTCACAGTGCCTTGCAAAAGTATTCAGAACCTTCCTATGATTTCCCATTTTGTGAAATTACGAAACACTTTTTAAATTAATATTTGATTTAAAACATGAATGCTTATACTAAAAACTTATAAGGTACTGTAAACAATTTCAGACCCATGAACTCAATATTTGGTAGAAGCATTTTTGGCAGCCAGATTGCAGCCAGACTGCAGTTTTTTTGGATAGGTCTTTACCAACTTTGCATTTCAACTTGGTGCAATTCTTAATCATTCTTCTGGGTGAATTTGTTTAAGTTCTCTTAAGTTCCTTGGGGATCGTTTATGGACGGCTTTACACAGTCGTAACACGACTTTGATTGGGCTCCTCAAGGACATTGACTTTCATATTTTTAAGCCACTCTAGTACGCTTTGGTATTGTGCTTTAAATCACTGTCATGCTGAACGGTGAAAGTTTAATCCAATTTTATGTCTTCAACAAACTGAAAAAGGTTTTCCCTTATTATTTCCCTGTATTCTGATCCATCCGTTTTTCTTTCAGTTGTAACAAGCTTTCCAGTTCTTGCTGAGAAGATGTATCTCTACACCATGGTGATGCCACCACCATGCTGGACTGGGAGATATGCTGTGTCAGACTTACCACATTGAATTTAGACAACAAAGTTCCAATTTGGTCACATCTGACCACAAGCGATTTTGTGACTTTTTTGCAGGATCACAGAGCTGCTTTGTTGCAAACTCCATGCAGGATATGATAATTTTCCATTTTGCCCTAAGGGAGAGTTTTGTGGAGTGACTGGAATACATTTCTGCCATTGCGGCCATCAAACTCTGTAGCTCATTGTTGCTCAAGTTGTCGTTGGACTCACAGTGACATCCCTCACCAGTTTTCTCCTTGCCCAAATTCTGAGTTTGGAGGAATGGCCTGAAATAGGTATTGTCAGAGTGATACAATGCACCTTTCATTTCTTGTTAATTGAGTAGACTGTGCCCACAGGGATATTAAGAGACTTTTGGTATATTTTGTACCCTTCTCATTATATGTATTTTTCATTGACTTTATCCTTGACTTGCTATGAAAACTCCTCAGTCTTCATGGTTGAGTCTTTGCTTAAAATTTATTACCTTATCAAGGAACCTCACAGAGACAGCCACTTAAATAATATTGTACCTTGTAAATGTGTACACCTTTATTAATTTACAAAGCAAAGCATTTCAATACTTATTCAATTATGATGTTTTGATTTTTCTCTTTCTTTTCATTTCTTTCTTTTTTTTTTTGCTTTAATGAGTGGAGTAGGTTGTGTAAAACAAATATTAATTGGTATTTTAAAGTGTCATGGCTGCAAGGTTTAAAGCAACAAAATCTATAATGTTGAGGTGAAAATGCAATTAAAAATGACCTGTCTTGTTTTGAGAATGTAATGATGTATGAGCAAAATTAAATCCAGTTGTTCTAGTAGCTTAGTATGGAACATCTTGTGTTGAGTCTCTAGATGGCAGTATTAACCTTATTATCTCCAAGAGCCCTTATTTTGGGACAGCTAATACAACACACAGAACTAGCCGATACAGATATCAAATGCAAAACTTAGTTTTCATATTTAGCACATCTACTCATATTAAGCAGCAAAACAAAATCAGGGAAAAAAAAAACTGTGCTGCTTCACACTACAGAGCACTTTTAAAAAACGTAAGCCATACACACATTTGGAACACCATGAAGCAGACCTTATGTTTTTTAAGAATTTCTTTGAACTGGCCTTAGCCATATTTGTTTGGTGAACACTGTTCCAGAAAGGAACTGTGATATTAAAGATGCTTGTATGGTAATTCACTGGACCATATATGTTAAGCAATGGGTATTGAGTTTCTGCATTGGAATTACCCACTAGGAATATAACAAAAGGAGAAACCAGTGATTGCTAAGTAAGTGAAACCAGAGCTCATGCGTTCTAGGCTACTGGCCACATGGCTGCTTTTAGTGGATTTACTGAGAAGCAGTAGTCAAAAATATCATTCACAAATCTTTGTTCAGACTAACATCCAGATGTGCGCACTGAAAAAAAAAGTCAGAATAGCAAGAGATGATGGAAGAGATGGAAAATTTTTACTTTGGTAAATTGTATCTTGGTTGACAACTGTTAAATATATGTGAAAAAAATAAAGCAGTACGTACCAATATTCATTCCATTAGCCATAACAATATTGAATCGTGACTACTTTAAGTCGGGACATACATTTTAAAATGTATAGAAAATTCGACACAGCTAATATTCCATCAGAAGGTATTTTTTAAGTGAAGAAAGACTATAAAATACATTTAGCATGGATAAAATAACCAGATGCAGTGAGACAGTGACAGAATTGAGTAACTGTGCTTAAAGATAACCAGTCCATTCATGTTAAACTTTTTGTGGCCATATTGAATTACTGTGATATACAGAGCTGCAAGGTTAATAAATATACTCTGGTGTGTTTTTGCTTTTCTCTGGTACTGTACTTTGCTTAAATATTCAATGTATAATGTAAAATACACTGGTTGCGCAACCTTATGTTATTGCTTTAAGGACAGTAATTGAGATCATTAGGCCACAAGTACATCAATGTAAATTGAAACCAAATGGTTTGTACAGTTGCAGAGCAGCTTAAAGAAGTGGAGTCAAGGAGGCTGTATCCCACAGTAGTTATCGAAATGTTGACAGATTATTTACGCATCAAAGATGCAGAAAGCAAGGTGAAAAAAACTCTGGGTTCATTGATTTTTATCTGTAGTTTTGTAGTTCAAACACCTAATCACAAATTTGGAAATGAAGGGAAAATGCTAGAACAAGAACTATCAAATGCTTAGCACAGTGTTTTCTTTTTTTGTGTTGTTTTTAGTTACTGTATGTTTCGTGATTATGGATTAAGGTACGATTTAAAGCTAAACTTTCATCTTTTCATCTGACATTTTTATTGAATGGCTCTTTGTAAGCTGACTCTTTAAGCTCCTGCCAGAGACACTTAAGGAAATCACTACAGGGTTTTAAAGGCTACAGGGGTTCATTAGCCCCTAGACCAGCTTCACTTCCTCAATGAGAAGGGCCTGGTACATTGCCAGTTTAATTCCTTTCAGGATGACGAACTGACAGTGCAACAAATCACACTGAAAAATGAGACAGAAGCAGAAGTGTAACCACGATTACGAGGAACAGCAGAATTAGCTACAGTCTAATGAACACTTTTGTTAATTATATTTGAAGGGAATGTAAATGTAAATTCCGATTTTCTTTTTTTTTTGGCTGTGGGGAGGTGGACGGAGGGAAGCGGGGGCGGTGGATTAATTTTTGCTCTGACTGTTAGGCAGGACGTTTCAAATTCTTGTTGTTATTGCTGGATGCTATAAATCCTAGGGGCCTCTTTGTTGGACAACTTGATGAGCTTTCTTTGTGTTTTGTGAAACTGACCATCTGTGTGATAATGGCCTTCTACTGTTAATGTCGTATATATCAAAGCTGTTAGCACAGCATCTGATAGGGTTACGGTCAGTACAGTGTATTCACTGATTTAGCACAGTGCTCAAGGTTTCCCTGCTTTCAGCTTTCCAGTCAGTTGTGATGTAAATATTATCTTACAGTCCAAGTCTAAGCTTCATACACATCAGTAACCACCTTTGTGATGGGGATTAAAGTTTAGCTGGGATAAATTTACAGTAGCCAAAGAGAGGATTTAAGTTTCTCTCATTTTGTCTCTTTCCCTGCATGGAGAGTGGAGAAAGAAACAAGCTCCAAGGATTGTGGGGCGATTGTGGTCAATTAAAACCCTCCATCAATGTGATCTTTTCAAGATCGTTCTTGTCATCTCTTTTTTACAGGGAGAATGGAACCTTTGCACCACTGTGTGCAGTAAAATATGTCCAAATTAGGAACAAAAATATTTTGCATTCACAGCTATGAAAAATAATTTGGTTCCTTCAAAATGACATTTGTACAGTAAAATCTCATGCAGAAATGTAGCTTTCAAATAATTCACTTTGCTCTGTTTTTGCTATAATAGTTTGTCTTGTCTTCACTGATACCCTATTTGTCCAAGAGACATTGTTGTCCTTATGCATTGGGTATTGTGGGCATCATATAATGGGGTACTAAAAAGTTATTCTTTCAAGCGAAATAAAATGCATTTGTTGGATATTAACTTGTGGACATCTTATTACTTGCAACACTTCACAGTATAGTAACAGTGTAAATACAATAAGGAAAAAATAAAGGTTGTTAACTGTAAAAAGAAAGGGTCATTTCATTGCTTAATGAGTGTAAATCAATATTCTCTTTATTACACTCTGAGGAACCTCAGGCAAACTGTCATTTGATCTCCTTTTAGATGCAAAGCAATTTAATCTGCCTTATTCATGATATCCAACCCGTTTGTCACATCCTGAACTTGTTTTATATACAGTATATCCTGGTTTGCATGTTTTTTTTTATATATACATGAGAAAATAACATGTTCCATTAACATGTAAATATTTAAGGTTAAATAAAAATCTATCTTAATTCCATAACTGGCTATAGTTTTGTAATAGAGTGACAGTAACATCGGCAGTAACCTCGAACAGCATTAACAGTGCTTTCTTGTGATGGGTGCAATAAAACTATTGATAGGAGAGCTGTTCCTTATGTGGAAGAAAGATGGCAGCAGCATGCTTCAGCTGAGACAGGTGGGATCAGTTGGCACTCTTGATGGTTGGAGACAGGTGAACTGACAACATGACAGCTTCTCTTCCCAAGGCAGGATGTGTTTTTGGACAGGTCAAAGGACAAAAGTGCCTGCGGGTTATTCCCCAGAATCTGACAAAAGCTGCCTTTCAAACCCAATTCAGCATCATTTCCCCCTTCTTCATTTTGAAATGCCATACATATTAGCTGAAAATCTTTAGAATTGGAAAAGAGTACAGATTTCTATTTCTTTGCATTACAGATCAATCGTGCTCCAAGTTTTGGAACAGATCAGAAGATTGACTATGATGTGAAGAAGGGTGTCCTACTCAATGCACTCAAACTACTGAACATAAGGTACTAATTCTGTTTAACAAGCACTTTGTATTAATCATTTTAGCACTTTTTGCAGGGTCATTACTTTCTTGCTGTAGACGCTGGCAAATACAGTATTTATAATGTTATTGATACGTTTATCTCACTATAGAAATGTCATTTTTTAAGTAATAATGAGACCTTCCACGTAATATATTCATGATAATGAAGTAACACTTATGGAAATACTAATTTCATTTGTACAAATTAATTATTGTAGCTTGGTATATACCGTTTGGTATATACTATACTGTTGAGGAGAAAGTATATAGGGTGAAAAGATTTTATTTTCAACAAATTCCCTTAGTTTTCTTAAAAATATGTTTCAGTTTATTTTATTTCATTTTCCTACAATGTCATATATGTGCAAGTTTGAAAAGATACAAATATCTGCCATAAATGTTTATTTTTAGGTTTTAAAAATAAAACTTAGAATACTGAAGCCAAAACATTTTGAATTCACAACATGAGGTAAATGTTTATGGTATTAAAGGTTAGTATGTTTCAGGTTTGTTTTCATTGTTAGTAGAAATAAATAAGAATATCATTAAAATATATAAGATGTTAAGTCTAATGTGCTTTATGACCATTCTGCTGCCCCTGACTTGTTAGTGTGAATATGACTGAGCATTGTCAATGTGGAAAATAAAAAAGAACAGACTCAGCTGATTGATTGTACCAGCCCTGACCCATAGGTTTGATTATACTATGAGCACATGTCGTCTACTATGCTAAATATAGATTGTGAACAATGGCTCTAAAATATTGCACAGTTGAAGTGGATTGATTGCAATGGGGTATATTGAGTTTTATGTTTAATAAATAGTGACACAATGAAATTGAACCACATTGTAAAATGATCAACTCATGGAGGCTAGAATGTATATTTAGGGTTGGTATTTCTCATGGTTACACAGAAAACATTGCACCGCCTACAAACATGGAAATTACTAGTGTTAGGTAAGTTAAATTAAAAAATCAAATGAAAAAAACAGCTATATGAATAACACAAATTCTGTTTTCCTTATTTATTAAATACAGCAGTTTCATTAAAGTGTACTATCTTTAATTTTTAATAACATTTAAAAAGCTGAATGGAAACAAAAAAATGTCTTTGATGGACAGTAATACTCTTGATGAAATAATACGATATACAAGACTGCTAATTTGCACAGTAGTGAGAGTAATTTTCACATACTTTATACAACATAGCAGTCCACTTTTTCTTGAAAGATTATATCAGTGTAAAATGGAGCAGTTTAAATTGAAATTATTAAAGGGTTTGTAATTTTTTGTCTAAAATGGTACTTTGCATAGATATTTTAATAGCTAATTTATTTCTTCAGTACTTCTTAGTTAACTTTTACTAGCAAACAAAAATATTAACATGTAAAAAGTACAGTAACTGATTAAAAAACAAAAATTGCTCTGAATGCACACAAATTGACAGTATATTTTATTTATGTACAATATATGAAGTATCTTCTCTTGGATGGAAGGCTGTTTTGAGTTCTAGTGATCCAAACCAAGCATCTGTTCTGTGTAGAACTCTACACTTCTTAACCTCTCTGGCATCTGCTGAGTGGGCATTTGCCAGGCCTAGGCATCATCCTGGGGTTAAAAGAGCAGCAACACCTCCTGGTTTGGTTGGATAAGAAGAACGCTAATCATTGTTAAACCTCCCCATTCACATCTGTGTAATGGTAGCTAGGTGACAGCTGAAGTGGGCCCACAGAAATTGTGAAGAGATTGAAGACTATGTAATTAAGTACCATCTCAGATTTAGTGCCTGTGGAACCATCTTTAAAATCTTTAAAATTTTTTGTATTACTTATCGTATACACCTTTTGGTATTACCGATTTTTTTCTTTGCCTCTCAACTCACAGCAGCAGCTCTTGTATTGCACGGGGAGAATTAGGAGGCAAAAATAACTCCTCTGATTGACACACACACTGAGCCTTTCATGTTTCAACTTGTTGCAAGCCTTACAGTGTCTGCTGAGAGAGTTTGTGTCAAGTGGAGAAGCAGCGTTGTCTCTCACTGAAGTCATGGCAGTACTCCAGGCTCAGGGGTCGCTGTTTGCCTGCAAGCTGACTGACAGAACTCCACGCCAACCTTGACACCACAGCTCGGGCAATCCAGGTCACTGTCAACTGTTGACATGACCCTGGCTTCAACTAACAACATCTGGGTCAAAGAGCTTCTTGTGGAAGACTCCCGATCTTTATTGCATACCTTGCTACTCCTTTCTGGCACAAAAAAGTCTCATTAAAAAGATGCAACTTTTCCAAGAAGAGAAATATGTTCTAGAAAAAAAAACAGACCAAAAAAAGGACAACCTAATTTTATTGCAATCAGTACTGCAATCAATTCTATTAGGGTACCAAGATGAGGGTTCCTTTAAATATAATTAACATACTGTAGAATGATGAATTCCAGTTGCTACAGGAATAGCAATGTATAATAGTATAAAATAAAGACAGACTTCAAGCATCGGATTTACAGTTCTTTAGATTGAGGGGCAGTTACCCCTCAATCTAACAAGTACAATATCTAACTTTTTACACAGAAAAAGATAAGAAATTAATTGAGCTGTTGGACAGATAAAGCTGTGCTTAACAGCTGTACAAATGGATTGCTGATTGTCATGTGAGCGCTGAGCAGGTCTCCCCAGGAAGATACTGATAGCAGAGAAGCCTCATTATGTTTTTGTAGAGAAGGTTCATTATGTTTTTACTGATCATAGAAAGCAAGAACCCGAATTAGTTGGGTTTTTGTTAATCGCATTACTTTCACTCCTCATTTCGCTCTTCAGAGCCAGCGATAAAAAAAGGAATTTGGCCCAGCAGAAAGCGGAAGCACAGCGGCGGCTGTATGGTCAGGGTTCCATGAAGAAGCTGTCGGCAGGCTCCTCTGAGTGGGAGAGACAGCGTCATACACTGGAGAGGAGGAAAGAGGAGCTGGTGAGATTCCTGACCACTGCCAGCACCCATGTACTCAGAATAGGCTGACAGAATGGGAGAGCCACACTCCTGTCCTCCAAAGCTGGAACATTTCCTGGTTTTCCAAACTATTCTGTCCTTTATTTGGCAGTCTTTTCAAGTCCGTTTATTGTTGATGTTTGAAAAGGTGTACTTTGTCAAAGGATGTTTAAACATAAAACACTTGGCAGGTTCAAGAAGAGTGTTGCAAGTTTAGTCATGTTCAACCTGGTCCTGAAGAAAAATCTTATTTTAAAAAAATAGACTGTTAACCATCATTGTGATTTATCGGCAGTCTTACTGTGTTTTACAAAGACACCTGAGACAATTTATTGTTTTTCTCAGTATATTAATGCTAAACCAGCAGAGCAAGCCACAGAACCACCAGTTGATTAAGATAAATCATTAACATGTATCAAGGGTACCATACTGCAGTAACCCATGCACTTGGTACTTTGAATTTAACTTACCTAGACTAGAGTCTAAATGAAATTACATTTCTGACTCATCTGTAAATCACACATAACAGATCCCATATATGATGGCTGTTTTCTATATGTTAGATGTCAGATACCTCTGGCAAACAAAGGTTTGAGGTTTAAATTTGTGGTTGGTTCGGTTTTGATTTTATCTAGGCTTAGGTATCTAGAAAGTTTGTATGGAAACTGGAAAACATTATGCTGAATTTAGCATCATCACATTATTGGCTGATTAGATTCGATTGGTGAAAGATGATTCCCAATAACAGGCAGAGGTCATTACCCTATATTGTAGGAGGGAGGGTGAAATTAAAGTGGGCATTTCAAACTTCAGGGTGGGTGCCAAAGGCAGAATTAGAATTAGTACATTAGATTCCTTAAATAGTACTCAAAATGGAGCATACAAAATAATCAAAATTACTTTTTACCATTTGTTGGCTTTAATATATTAAGATCCAGAAGGAGGCTGATAATCCTCCTACTGAATATATAAATAATGAATTAGCTTTAGATATTTTCAGATGAGAAAAGAGCACAAAGAGCCTTTCATTGACTGTCAGAGAAACAAGCTTCCATAAAAGGTTTTGGTTTTATTGATCGGAGTCATGGCAGTCTTTGAGGCTCCCATTATTTACAACAGCCATGTTTGAGCTTTAAACTGCACGACATGAGGCTTTTCTTCTTTTTTCTCTCCAGAAAGAGAGGCTTGCTCAAGTACGCAAACAGATCTCACGAGAGGAGTATGAAAACAGGCATCTGGGAAATTACAGGTACGCTGATGTACACACGCTGCTCGGTTCTTTAGGCTTGTAGATTCTGTATCACTGAATTCTTTTCAAAGATGTCTGAGCTCAGTGTCAGCTCTGTTGCTAATGTTGAAACAGTCAAATGTACAGCTGAGATCTTTTTTTTTCTAAAAATCACCAATTAATTTTTCAGATACCCATGCAATTTGGAATTGCCAATTGTTTCTTTGTGCTGCGGCTCACATAGCTGCTGTACGATGAGAATGAGAGGCAGGCAGGTTCCTGCAATCTGCTCATCAGTGGAACCATTCATCTTTTGGCATGCTACAAGCTCTGCAGCAACTTAAAAGAGGGTTAGTGCCAGCTGAAAGAGGGATGTGTCCCTTACTGTGGGCACTGCAAGCCTGCTGGCAACTCAGTCAGGGATGTGTCACTGATTTCGCTAGGGTCAATCCCAACACTACCCTGGGTGATGCTCAGCCAAATGTGCACTGCCACCTGGTGAATCCCAATCACAGCTAGCTAGTGACATGACTGAGGCTTGAACTTGGAATATGTGGATCACAGAACTCAACCTACACATCTTTCTGTTATAATATGACTCTTATGAATAATCCCAGGGATATATGCATAACTAATATTGAACTCTCTTAATTATATACAAGATTTCAGATAATAAAGTCTATTTTTTAAAATTCACCAGTCAAAAGAAAAGACACTACTTCTAAGCATGAGTCACCCATTTCAAAATGGTTGTTGAGTCTGTGGCCCAAAATACATTGTCAATACAGCTGTTTTACATTCAGAAAAGCAGAATGCTCATTGTAGTAAGACCTTCGCAAGCCAACTGGTAATATACTGCTCTTTGGTTTTTATTTCAAAACAGCTTTGCCTGCGTTCTGGCAATAAATACCTGTGGTTCAAAGGGAACGCCTGGTATTGATCCAGACATTCTTTTTAGAAGAGTCTCTTAATGAACCTGTTTCCCCCTTGGGTCAAGTACTGTTTGGACATAGGAAATTGAGTTCAAAGAGAAACTCTGTATGTGGCCATTAAATAATCTACCACTTACCTAATGTTTTATGAGTAATTACTAAGATGAACATGCTGAAATAATGCTACTACTTCAAAGTCATTGAGGACTAATGACATGCAATGCAGAGCATTCATTAAAACGGTCTTAGTCTGAAAATTGAATCTCACCAAACATAATTCACAATTGTCACTTTAGAAGCTCCATCAGATCTCCAATAATGAATTCAATATTTACAATGTGTAAATTGAATAGTGTATCTTAAATTATACCATTTAAAGTTGCAACCTTTTACTACAGAAATAAGCAGTATTTCTGAAAACGTTTACTTGATAGAAAAATTGCAGTCAGACATTTAATAGAGGTATGTTTTGGAGTAAATTTCTTCACGGAAAATAAAATGGTGGACTATTGTTTTCTTTCCAGAATTGAATGGCATGATAGATTGAAGAAGTTAACACTTTGCTCTGTGCTGATGGTTGATTACATCTATTTCATAAGGATGACCAACAGTATATGTTAAAGTTTCGTGTATTTTACCACTTGCGGCAATATTCTCCTTTTCTCATGATAACTTTGATTAATTACATGTGGTAAATGAAGTCTAAAATTACAATGTCAACAATTTGCTTAATTTGAAAATTGTCCAATTTTTCTGGTTACAGTAGTTTGATTAAATACTTAGAATATATAAATCTGCAGAAGTAATGTGGTGCTACGATAGATTTGCATGCCATTCTGTATATTGTGTTTAACTAGACACACATTTCCTTTCAAAATGGGCTGAGTTTAATGAGTATAAATTGATCTTACATAATATTTATTATGTAAAGAAATTGAGAATTGTACCTCCTGTAAGTTCCTTTAGATACTATCATCAGCTCTTTAATAATTATAAATAATACATTTTTTATGCCACCATTGTAGTATTTGTTAAAGACAGGTCTGCACAAACAGCCAATGTTAAAAGATGCCTTGTGATATATAGGTCAAGAACAGCTGCCATGCATACAATGCATACAGTGTTTTTCCTCAACAGGGATATGACCGTAGGGCAAGGAGTATGAATACACAGCCTTTTCCTCATCTGTGACTTATAGGTCCTCCTGGATTAGAAAACAATTACCACAAGATCTTAACTTTACCATCTGTTAATCTTGCGATCACAATGTAAATGTGTGTATTTCAGGATTTGCTCATTGTAAAATGTCTGAAAGCCAGGCTGACACAGACTTGCGCAGAAAACTAATGTATAAGTGCTATGGGAATTTAACTAAAATATACAAAAACACTTATAGATCATAGCTAATGTAGCCATGCAATCATTGCTTATTTAGATTACTGTTACTGCTGTTATTACTAAAGAGCAATTCACAGATCGTGAGGTAATTGTGATCTTCCGATAACAAGAGCATTACAGACATCCTGAGTCCCCTGTGCTCTGAAGATAAATATTCCCATTATTTATTTTGTCTCCAGTCTTAAAACAGGCTCTGGGGAGTTGTTGTTTTAAAGAGCACATTACTTAGCAGAGAGGGGAAGCAGACACAGTATCGACATCTTACAGTTATATAGTGCCTTTCTGCCATCGGATTTTTGTCAAAATAAAGAACTGTATTTGCCCCTTGATTTTTGAAAAACCTTATCCACTGGTCAGGAAAAAAACTGCATGAATATTAAATACAAACTTTTTGTATTCTTTTTTCCAACAGACGCATTTACCCTCCAGATGACAAGCTGCTCTTGGAAAAGTATGAAAGCCTTCTCTCTGCTGCTTTTCAGACCTTCCTAGCAGGGCGAGCGGCCTCACTTCAAAAGGAGATGAATAATCCTCTGAAGCGAATGAAGGCACGTACAGTATCTGGGTGCCGTCTTGGTTCAGTGTTAAACAGCTCTTAAGATTCTTCCCCTCTTGTTTGAAAAAGAAAAGCCAACAACCTATGTTAAACTATTGCCAGGTATTTGTCATCTTTGTCCTTGTGTATAGATTTAAAAACTGCCAATTTGCAGAGGACGTGAAGATAGAAGAATTTGTTTTTGAGAGAATAGAACCTTTTACCTCCCTTGCTCTCTGTTGTTCTGTCATCCCTAACATTCTTCTTCAATGATATTTTTAATGATTTGATGGGTTAACAAAGCGATTAATGCTGCAAATGCCAGTGATTTTTGTGGATTTCTTTTCTGCACTTCTCAAGGACTCCATTGAACCTTAATGTTAGAAATTAGGAGGTTTGCTTTTTGAAGAACTTAGGACGGCAAAACCTTATTATGAGAGTAAAGTGATTATTTGGTTTTAAAACTGTAGATAAGCTGGTCCTTAGGAAGCTGCATGCAATATGGAAGGTTTGATTCATGGAGTCTCGGATTTTGGCTGGAGACATATGTGGAACACAGTTTTGGCATTCTTAGTTTGAGTGCTTGGCTTAGAGAAATAAGGCCAGAGTAGATTTGCCACACTATACCTAGATGACTCCTACTGAGTTGACGGCTGGTTCAGATGAATAATTATCCGATTGATTAATAAGAGCCAGTATCACTGTTGGCTTTTGACTTTTCACTGGCAAAATAATTGGAACTGTAGTGGGCATGCTGAGCAAACAATGTGTCATTTTAACACCATTATATCAAAATCTCTTCTTTGCATGGTATATCCCCAAAACGAAGCTAAGAATACATACTCCAGCATGAAGAAGTTCAAGTAGGTAGCTGCGTGAGCATGCGTAGGTTGCGAAGGAGCAGGTAAAGGTTTATTCCATGCTGAAAGAAAAAGAAAAGAGGCAATGTTTTGTCTGTATAGCCTTCTGAAGAAGACAGCTGAAGAAGCCTTCACAGCCGAAACGTTGTGTTTCTTTTCTTTTCCTTTCAGCATGGAATATACCTTCACCTGTTCCTATACTCCAGCATACATAGGTACGGCAGTTTCATGAGTTTGAAAACATCCTACAGTAAAAAAAATGAGAAAATATTCTTCATATATTTTCAGTGACAGCAGTATTCCTAAAGAAAAGTGTTTTTTTATACAATAACTTTGTACAAAATACAATTTGTTTTATAGCACCCTTCACAACAAATTTCCACAAATGCTTTATCAGTACATCACAAAAGGTGGGAGGGGTTTTGATGCTGTTTCAGATTAATCCTGGTCACTTTTCTTCTCAGCATTACCTAGTATACATGTTCCACCTTTTAAGGAAATAATTAATGGATAAAATTGCAGACTAACAGCAGAAAAAAACACGTATTTTTGTGTTAAAAATATCTGATACATATTTCTTTGTTCCTCTTTGTAGCACTGAAATGGAAAGAGATTTGCTGATCTTGTTGCTTTGTTATAAACTGAGTAGATAAACTGATATTATTTAAATCACAGGAAGAAGACATCTTAGACCTCCTGGAGCAGTGTGAGTTGGATGACGAGAAGCTTATGGGAAAAACATCCAGGCAGAGAGGGCCCAAGGTAAAAGTCAAAACTATCTGTCCCCCCAGTGCTGCAATTTTACAATCCATAAAAACACACTTTACTTATCTCTGCACCTATAGTTACAATGAGAAGGCACTACTCTGAAAATATTCAACGTCTGTATCTAGCAAATGCTCTAGAGCTGAGAAAAAAAAAACATTAAGAGCTGTAATGGTGCCATCAAGGCAGTTTTCAACCATATTAAACCTCTTCAAGGGTAACTACTTGTTTGAACACAATTGCTTTTTACTCAAATTCATTTACACTTGTCACTTTCAATTGTAGGGAGCGTTAGCTGATTTCTCTAGCCTTGCTGGGTGCTGAGATGTCATATTGCTCTCCCATGGGTGTGTTATAAAAACACTGGGACACACAGGAAAAGTAAAACATTTAAATACTCTGGATTAACACGTTCACAAATTTGAAATTCAACAGTTTAAACTTAAAATACCAAAACCTATTCTTCAGGCCTAGCGATTTGATAGGCTTATGTTTCTAATCACATACTCCACATAAATTGTTTAAAAGTAGACACAGCCAAATTAGCTGATGAATAACAGATGCGAATGCTTTATTAATGCTAACAATGTGTTCCTTCCTGCGCATGAAATAGAGATGCAGTTCAATTAACTTTCCAGCAGAGGAAATTATAAATTCATACAATAAACAGGAGCATGAAGAACAGTACCTATTTGAGCTGAATTAATATGTCTCCATTGTTGTGTTAATCAGAACAAGACAAACATTTTCCCATCATCTATTTGCCGGTCAGCAAATTTAATAATTCTACCTCCCATAACCTTTACTTTTACAAAGTGACAAATGTTAATTGAAGAGTACTGGAAATGTGGGTGTTAATCCTGACATAATTTTTGAAATTCCACTGTTTTAGCCCTTGTCATCCATGCCTGAAAGCACCCAGACACCAAAGAAACAAAGGGACTACAGCAGCAATAGCAGCTGTAACAACAGTAGCTCCTCAGGATCAGAAGAGGATGAAAAAGAAGACCTCTCAGAGAAGAAAGAGAAGAAAGTTTCATATGACCTGGGAGAAAACAAGAACAAATCATTGGAGCGCTCCAGTAAGAAACAAACAGTGGTCTTTTGCTGTGGGGTAAATTACAACTGTGAGTTATCCTGGAAAATAAGAGGAAACAAATCAACATTTCCTACTGTTTTTAGTTTGTTTTACAGACTCAGTTCCTAACATTTTCCAGATGATCATAAAAATGATTTAATTGAAAAAGATTCACAAACGTTTGCTATAAACATTAACTATTTTCTAAGCAGACAAATTAACAATCCAAAAAAAAGAGATAATACAGTATAGGAATATTTAGGGATGAAGTTGCAGAATTGCACGTAAATGTCAGTAGGAATCTTATTAAAACATCTACAGTATATTCATCTACGGTATATTACAAAAGTTAACTTACTGTTTAGTCTAATTTATTCAAACATAAAAGAATTAAGCTTACATTGTAACCAGAATTTTGTGCCATAGGTTAAAGTATTCAATTACTCTAGAATCTCAGTTTAAATATTTAAAACAGCTTATGTTGAAAAGCTTGCAAATTTACTTTGCTCTGCTTTTATATTAAAATTATAAAGTTACAAATAATTATAAAGACACTGGGTAGTCTACACCAAAAGGCTAGTTCACACACAATATATATAGATCATGCTTTAAAATTAATTTGGACTGCCTCACACTTCAGAAAAGAAAACCTGTAAACGAATTCTTCCATGAATCTGATGAAGTGAGCTAGTAATTTGTCTTTAATTGTCAAACAGACCCCTTTTTGGTTTTGGCATTAAATCCAATTGTTGACTCATCTGCAGATTAGTAATTCCAAACCCAGCTCTTAATTACAGATTTATATTACTTACGATGGAACAAACCTCTAGCAAATAAAAGTCACAGTCAAATGACGCATTTGGAGTCAGGTAGGTGCAGGTGCAGCAAACATCAAATATGATCCAAGCTACAGTTTTGAGCAGCTGGTAATTAAAAAAATACCTGTAAATCTTAAAATAGTTCAATCTTTGTCAGCAATGGCACTATACACTCATTACAAAAGCCAAAGGGACTGATGTGTCACTGCTCTGTTTTTCATTGATATGAAGACATCAAAATCTCATTAAAACAAGCTTTGTGCCACTTTGCATTAATTAAGATTGAAGAGTACATTCATCCTGAAGATGATGAACTGATTGGCAAAAGAAACTGCAGTTTTTTTCATTTTTAAAACTTGTATAAAGGTGTTTATTTATACAAGTATAGCACCTTTAAAGGCGCTATATAAAAAAAAAAGTTTATTATTATTGATTACATTTGCCTCAACTTGTGACCGCTGGATCCTCAGCAGTGTGTTCTTAATGTAAAAAAAAAACAGAAAGTACAGATAGACTTGTGTTAACATCTGTTCTGGCTGTCTTGGACCTTTATTAGGGTTATCCCTGTTCATTTAAATTTACTGAAAGGTGAAGGCAAGTGCCATCAAAAGCCATCTTTCTATACCTTACATGGTCATCATTTTGTGGATTCCAAAGCCTTGGTACCGTAGCACATGAAAAACAAGCACTGTATAAAAGGGAAGTTTGTATCATGATGTAACACTACATTTTTAGTCTCTGTAGTTGTTCCAAGAAACCCTGTTAGTGGTATTGTATTATTCAGTTGACGTTTTCACAAGCACTTCTTCACCTATTACTTTAGTAGTTCATATTGCTATATTGGCGTATATAGAAACAAAGGCCCTATGCTCATACTTTTAATAAGTATTTTGATGTGTCACAATCCAATGAACTCACAGTGACTGTCTCATTCTCAGGCAGTATATAGAATGCTGCAGTTTAGGGATTACAGTATTAAAAGCACATAAAATCATATGGCTTGCCTTAAAAAGTCATTCTTGAGAAAATACATTTAGGACTTTATACTAAGAGTCTTTTTATGGAAAGAAATCTTTTGATACAGATTTTTGGTTCACCTTCAGGTTTTGAAAAATGTAAGTATTGTTGGACAATGGCTACAATATGTATTTGGACATCTGGTATGCATCTGGTAGGGAGCTGCTCTTGTGTGTGTGTGCGTATACATTTTTTGTGGCAGATTTCTCTCTTTGGACAAAAAATACTATTTCAAATGCTTCCTTATGAGCTTTTGTGACCTGGCTTGAGTTGTCTGACCAATCTGCTATGACCTTGACTCCCCCAGACTCAAGGAGACCAGCTGGGGGTAGACTAAGATAAGCTTTATAATTCACTAGATTGGCAAGTGGTGGCCTTCAGGTTGACTAGTGGAAAATCTCTTAACTGGCCAGGGGTCAAACTGGAAAGTATTCAATACTGCCCTGCTGCGTAATGTGTGGGTAATGAAATGGCCATGAAAGCATATGAAAATACGGATTTGATACTATATTTGCTTTAAAAAAATAATGAATTACTTGACAGCTCCGACCCTTCAATGCAACAAAAATAGTTTGTAATTTTAAAAGGTAACCGCTACACTGGTATAAATGATGTTAATAGTAGTTATGGCTTTTAAGAGAATTTCTAGAAAACTACAGTTGTCATGGTCTTGTTGTCTGCTCCTGCAGGCAGGATTCATTGGAAACCTCCAGTCAAGGCAACAAAAGCCGGACCTTCTGCTTCCCCAACTTTATCCGCACCGATCAGGCGCTCAATTTCGTGCCCGCGGTCGATATCCTCCCTAACAGCGCAGTCACCGACGAATGAGCCAAGGGCTGCATCTGCGAAGCCGTCCACGCCCACGCTGCGCCCCAGCTCGGCCTCCCGCTCCCACTCCCTCAACCGCGGTGGCTCCACGAGTAGAGTGCCTCACAGCAGCAGCCTGGGCACCATCCACTCCACAGTGGCAAGTCCATTTCAGCACCGTCTTCAAACAGCCAGCTAGACATGTTCATTATTGTCACATGTATAAATAATTAGAAATGTGTCATTTGTGGAATGGGCTGCTTTCCATAGAAATGAACTCCAGCGCAAAGCCAATAGGAAGGGAGGAGCAGTGGCTCTGTAGCTCAGGATCTGTGCCTGTGGCTGGAAGGTTGCCGGTTCGTGTCCCGCGGCCGGCAGAGGAATCCTACTCCGTTGGGCCCCTGAGCAAGGCCCTTAACCCTAGCTGCTGCAGGGGAGCTGTATAAATGGCTGACCCTGCGCTCTGACCCCAAGCTTCTCTCCCTGTCTGTGTGTCTCATGGAGAGTAAGTTGGGGTATGTGAAAAGACAAATTCCCAATACAAGAAATTGTATATGGCCAATAAAGTGATCTTATCTAATCTTAGAAATAAACTCCCGATCAAATCAGATTCAAAAAGTCAGCTATACAGATGTCTGTGGAGGAAAGCAGGGAAGTGGTACCTTAGACAGAAAGAAAGGCTATCACCTTGGATACAGTTCCATGGAATGGCAAAAATATTTCCAGGACAGCATTTCTGGGGTGCATTCACTTGCCTTTATTTAGTTTTCCTTTTGGTCTATTTCAGTTTGCTTGGAGGCAAGCGCTTAATTAGTTTGTGTTCACATCCAGAAGGGGTGTGGGTGTTGAATATATCTTAGCAGCAGCAACGCAGGACTTTCACTGCATTATGATAGCAAATGACTATCAGAAAAAGATACATGGATTGAGTAGGAATGAGGTGTATAATGACATTGATCAAATACACATTTCAGTCATCGGCTGATTCATATGGTGTTTTGCGTTTTAGGAAGTTTCATCTTGCATTTAAGGAAAGTTGTCTGTCCCTTTTGTTTCCTTTTGTTTTCACATCTTTAATTGCAAAACAGACTGCAAAGACAGCGGAGCATTTGGAGGTATCTTACTCTCATTACTCTAAAAATCAGAGGCTACCATAACATTACAAACAAAGGAAACATCCAGACAATGGCAGTGGCTGTTCAAACATTTTTTATCATGACTGAACCAGGCTTTAATGATAGCCGCTCTTTGAAATATCACTGGGGGATGTGCTAATTACCAAAGCTATTGTGTCTCAGTGCTTAACATCATAAAGAGTGTGTTGGAGGTTTTTTTGTGAACACTGCTGCTAAATGAAAAAAAATATGTGTAACATTTCATCCTAATTTATCTTGTTTTTTGTTTTGACTTGTCGGTTTTTTTCTTTATTCCAGGGAGAGCCTTTGCTGAACCTCAGAACAAAAGAACAAGAAGCAGAGCTGACAAGACAGACTTTGACTGCTCTGAATGAAATGCGGATCAGATTTCCAGGAAAAACTGAGGAAGAGGCAGAAATGATTCTTGATGATGTGAGTGCTTGACGCTGCCCCCTATATACTGGCATTACAGCAACGTCTATGCTACCATCTCCTTTATTGATGAGCTCTTCTCTCATACCTGTTAATCACACATCTTTTTTTCTTAGTGTGCAGTGTCATTGATCAAGGATTACCAAATATTTTAGCACCAGCCGGTGTCTAATTTTTAAATACTTGTTATAATGAAGACTTGATACTGGAGTTTCATTGCAGTTTCGGAGTTTTATATTGTGAGGTTCCTATGAGGTTTACAGTGATTGTAAAGCTATAGCATTCACATATTTGTTAATTTCGTTTTCACTATGAAATTTGGATACAAATGCTACTTTACTAGCTAAATCCATATTGTAATTTTAAAAATAATAATAACTATCCAGACCAATAAAATTAAAACTGCTGCTTAGTACACAACTTAAACAGATGGGCAATTTCCACCTGTCTGTAGGCAATCTTTCTGCATTCCCAGTATTAAAATTACCTCTATCTCAATGTTACTGAAGTAATAACTGGAACTGCCGAATCTTATTTACATAATTCAAACACTTTTCAGCAAACACACTAGAAATGCCAGATCATTAGAGAAACCGCCTTACTAAGAGCTGTGTGAACTTAGAACAGTCTTAGAACACAGTAATATGGAAGCAAATGAGTGGAAAAATGTGAAAAAGTCTTGTTGATTATCAGGTGAGATTAATATAAATTATTAAACAGTTTTAAAGTACCTAATATAATTTTATATTATAAACTAAAATCAGTGGGAATGTCAATTGGCACTTTCAAATTTCAGTTCAATGTGTGAAATCTGCATGTTCACACTGAAACTTACCTTTGGCGTTTTGTTTACACAGTGGGAGTGTTGGTTTTGTTTGTTGGGAGCATTTTATAGATCAGAAATGGCTGATGGTTAATTGTTACAGACAGAATCTTTAGTACAACAAGGCAGTTCAAATTCCCAACATGAACTACAGTTTAGAATCTTATGCATATCACCTTTTATCTCCTTTTTCTGGGTAGATTTACAGCAGTTAATGTCTTTTAGATGCTACCTCTAAATATACTATGTTCACCAGCTGTCAGAGCCTTTATTGTATGACTTGTCTCTGCTTTAATTATATAAAGTAGCAAAATTTAAGAAAACACACGATGAACAATAAATATGTTGTACAGTAGGAGGGACAGATATAAAAGAGAGTGGGGCGGGTGGATTGAAAAGTACTTGTATTTTTCTTTTGTCTTACACAGACATATAATCAATATTGATGAAGGGCTATATAAACCAGGTTGTAAAGAGTGAGAAAGATATGGAATCACTGCAAGATGTTCTGCTGCAATGTGTGGCAGGTTTGAATAGACTTGAGTGCTTCAGGGCCACTGATATTGGCTTTCATGCACTTCAGCAGATCATCACAAACTGTAGTGAAACCAGCACAATACTAGTTAATATCTGTAAGCAAAATATAATATACTGTGGATGTTGTAGTGCACTTAGTTGTATTGACTAACTGCCATATTATGAAATAAAAAATAGCTCAGCCTAATGTGCATCTGTATCCTAAAAATCATAGATGATTGACAATATACTGTAAAACCATAGCATATTCTTAATATCTTACACGGTGGAATTACAGATAGGCAGTGGCTCTGTAGTTTCTTTTCTTTTACTTGTAGTTCATACAGTTTGCTGTGGTTGGGGGGTAGTGTACCTGCAGAAATGTACCATTCTTCTAGGAAAATGTCCATGAAGGAAAGACATCTCGTTTTTTAAAATTAAGTACTTAATGAAAGCCTTTTTTTATTTTTCAGATACTAGATAATTGGAAATATCATAAACCAAAAGTGGCCTCTTACTGGTTAGTGAAGTTAGATTCGACAAAACAAAGGAAGGTAGGTATGCAGGCATGTCACGTGTCTCATAACAAAGGTGTTTTGACTTTCCATGAATAGACTGACCATGTGGCTCCCACCAGGCACACTTGGAAACAGAAAGGGATCTTAATGTTGTCCTTAAAAAAAAAACTAATCTTTAGAAGCTGTGCTGCATTTTGCTAGATTGAATATCGATGTTTAATTACACAGTTGTCCTAATGTGCAGTGACTTCAGTTGTTAAGTCAGTCAGGTATTAATTGGGTTTGAACAGTCCTCTGCCCTGTCTCTTAGAGTCCCAGGGATTTACAAGCCATACGGTCACGATATTCATGAGTGTACAGGGGCTGTTTCAGTTATGATGCACACAATTTTGGCTCAGTCTTGAATTGTTCACTGGTGTATGAATTACATTTTGCACTGTTACTTTTCTCTCACTAGCTCTGAATTCTTTAGTATCTAATGTCTAATCACTATTGAAATCTTGCATGCCCACAAACTATTTTTCCCTTCAAAAATTTAGAACGTGATGAAAGTATCTGCAGCTGTGTACAAAACCTTACATCAGCCTGTTACAAAATCTACTTATTATTTTAAATGTCCTCTGGTCATATCACTTCACAGGGTGAGTGTCTTTGGTTTTCGAACGTTGCATTTGACATCCACTTCGAGTGAAATGCTCATGTGAATGGTGAAAGCTGCCTGCTCATTAAAACTCTCAACTACTTTTATTGACTGGCATCGATTAAAGCAGACCCTGAAGTGACACTGAAGTGTCCATTAAAGTTCTGGGGTGCTGGTGGGAGCTGCCACTGCCTCTTAAACTGCAGATGCTAGTCAAATTAACTAGAGGCATGTGGCGGGTTAGTACTACTCTTCACACAACACTGATTATTATGCGATGCTGGGCAAGCCTCTGTCTTAAAGGTTTTGCTATATGTCTCATGGAAAATAATTAAATCTGGCATCTCGGTTGAACAATCACAGGTTTGTCTAATAAAAGGATTCAAAGGCCTAAGACATCACCCTGTTAAAAAAAAACCTTCATGACCAAAAACTTTTGACACAGTTAGCTTAAGTCTGACATTTGCTGCCATTGATAGATCCTTGCTACTGCACTGGTTTGGTATATACCTTCCATATCAGCTTGGGGTTTCCTACACTGCTGTATATCATTTCTGTTTTGTACTGAGCAGGCCTAATTACATTTTATTTGAAACCTAAGAGGTTTTCTAAAACAAAATAATTCCCATATTGCTTATTAATTAATCTGTTACCAGCTGTTTTAGTTTTTATTTTTAACTGCCTGCAGATACTAGTGAGTCTGTTTGCTTTTTTTGTCTCCAATATACCTTTTCTAGGTTTTAGACATAGTTCGCACAAATGTCCGCTTGGTGATACAAAGAATCTGGAGGGAGCCTGATGTCGAGAGTTTCCATTTATACCGCCTTTTCAATCGTGTGTTTAATCGCCTGCTTTGGAGCCACGGTCAAGGTCTTTGGAATTGCTTTTCCAACTCTGGGTAGGTCTTTTTGTTAATGTAAATGTTTAATGCATAAAAACGACTTCTTCTGTAAATTGTATCCCTATTCTATATACAGTTCACCTCTTAAAATTACATCACATGTGCTGTCCTGTTGACTGTTTTTCGGTCTTTCTCCTGCTCCCTGCCTTAACTTTTTGTGTTTGGAAAATGAAATAAACATACATGTAGCCGCTCACATAAAGTAGTAATTAGCACTGCAGTGATTTGCAATTGGGTAACCCAAAGTAAATGGAACTAATGTCTCTCTTGACAGCACACTACATGTCAGCTACAAATAGGTGATATATTAAGTCTAATTATTGCATCGGTACTCCATTCATTTAAAAACATAATACATAATTTAATATTATTAGCCCTTATTTGGAAGTGGGTCTATAAATATGCCTAGGGTATACAAATAAGTTATAATTTATTGCATGACTTTATATTTCAGAAACATTATTTCATATCAACTCTTTGTATCCACACAATACTGAATAATGCTCTCAACTATTCTTTCTTGATTCATTTTTATATCTGTAAACCTCAATAAATCTACATGGAAGTTTTTTTGGACTTTAAAATGATGCAATCACTTATTTTGAGGAGATTGCACAGAATCCAATTTTACTAAAATGTTTTTATCATAAAGAATGTGCTTTGTGACTGTTTGGAGGTGCCACTCCTCCACTGATCAGGATGGGTTTCTTCCTAATTAATTTGCTATTATTTAGATTTCCAGCAGGGGTTAAGCTTCCATTTTCTGCTAATGCCAACAACAATTAAACCAGGAGCCCCTCACTTGCTTTCAAACCTCTTTGTTCCCAAATTTTCCTTTCACAGCAAAGCCAATACCTCAATGATGCAGGTCTTCCTAATAAAAGACAAAAAGCTGTGCTTGCCACACCCTTTTATACCTTGAGAGGCAAATTAATCACTCACAGCTGAGCCTCATCACAGAGGAATGCAGCAAATCAGTACTCTAGTTTGCTTCCTGAAAATGTAGCTTTCACACTGGACAGGGTTGTAATGGGTAGTGGCATCTCAAAATTCTTGATCCAAAATATATTCCCTATACCCCTGCTCCACATTCTGCCATAGCTTTTAGTTTACTTATCTAGAAGCCAATCTCATTTTTATATGTAAAATTCATTTTTCCTGTATTAGATCCTGTATCATTGACTGCCTGTTCATTCATTTTGACCCATGAGTTGGTAATTAACTTTATTTTGAAGTGTTTGAAAAGTTTTGAGTTTATTCTAATGGAGATTCTTGATTTATAATTGTGATCCTGTTGAAATGTTGCATTTAGTACAGAATACTCATATTAGCATATTTTAATTGCAGTGTCTAAAACAGGTAAGAATATCATTTAATTGTAATGTATTTTTATTTAGAACACCTTAGCCAAGCAACTTGCAAATTCTCCCATTCTTGTGTTTAGATTCATGCACCTGTACTACTTAGACATAAATATAATTAACCAACACCATCACGTGTACAGTGTTTCATCTGAGGTTTTATTTCACTTGATCGCAGTGCATGTGCCTGAGGATTAGCACTAGTATTGAAAGCCATATGTTGCTTATTTAAATCAGACCAAGCTCTGAAGGAGGTAAGCAGCTCATTACAGATAATCTTGTTTGGTGTGTATTGTTAAGAAATGATGCCCATCTTCTGCAGTTTGCTTCACCTCACCCATCTGCTGTTGCAATTAACTTTGTAATGTACACTTAATAGCCCTGGCCTATATATTTCAGATGAATTATATTTCTTGAATCTAAGTTCAGTGTTACGTACATACAGTGTTAAAATAAGAAAGGGATATTGTATGACTTTAGTAAACAAAAGTACAGTATGTTTAGCAAACATGTTAATTTCTGTGCTCTTAAGATAAATCAGTTAAGATATATTATATCCATTCCAGAGTTTCAATATTATCAAACAGGAGGTATTCATCTGTTCATGTGTGCAAAGATATGTTTATGAGTGAGTAATTTAATCTTTGGAGATTTCCTAAATAAAAGCATATTGAAGCACACATGCAAATATTCTAAAGTTTTTTATTCTGTTTATAGATCTCAGGATGTTTAGGAAGCCAGAGGCATGAAAGAGAATCAAAATGCTTTACCACATCCAAATTCCTATCTTTTCTTTATACAAGATGTCCCAATAAGTAAAGATTTAAAATGGTTAGCTTGCTAGCTGGCTCTTCTACATTCCATTTTTTTGCATGAAGGGAAGATTGTTTCCGTGTCATTTATTTTAAGTTTTAAAGAAAGTAAGAGTTCCTTGGACAGGGGGCACTGGCTATGGTTCAACCATGCGGGCTGTTTTTGCAAACTGAGCAATGCCAGATGGGTCCATCAAATGCTCGCCAGAGACAATACTCCCAACAGACCTACAGTAGAACAAATTCCAAACTGAGAGATAAATATCAGCAAGAATGCAAATGACAAAACACAGAGTGGAAGTGTCCAGATTCACCAAGTCTGAACTTTCAGCAGGAGAAGTCATGAATGTCAAAAGTCAGTGAGGATTTTGGTTTTGAAGGCTCCACAGCCGAAACGTTGTGTTTCCTTTCTTCTCTTTTCAGCATGGAATAAACCCATTACTTGTTGCTATAAATGTATCACTACCATTATTGAAATAACTCAAATCTGAGTTGTATCTGCTGCAATAATACATAAACTCACAGGGCTAGGATAAAAGCATGTGTATGCACAAAGGCATTATGTGTAATATCATAAGAATTCTGCTATTATTGCTGTACTGCTATTATAACTTGAAGGTTATTATATCTTTATTAACACCTTTGTATTTGTGTTAAAAAAATGGAGAGATAGACTGTTAACCTTCTGTATCTTTTGACGGCAGGACTTCTTGGGAAACCATTTTCAGCAAAAGCACAGAGGTGGTGACTCCCCAGGAGCTGCAGTGCTGCCAGAGGCTGGTGCAGCTGTGCAGAGAATGCCTCTTAGTGGTATATAAGTTTGTTGCTGACTCCCGGGGCTCGTTGACTGGCCTCAGTCCAGAATGGGACGACACAAGGTAAGCACTACAGACTGGCTTGCTTCCTTGGTACAAAGCTGTGGGCTGTGAATCCGCGTCTTTGTAAAACGCTATGCAAATGAATTAAGTACCCATTTATTGATTTTGTATTAATTAACTTTTTAAAGTACAACGGGGGGTATTGTTAACATGAGATAATGACCCATAGTGGAGTGCTTCTAGCCTCATATTGAAGATACAAGCTTTGGTTAGCGTGCCCCCTGGAGCTAGCTTAATTCTGTAATAAAATGAGGCGGAATGAATGACCTTATGATAACTAGCTCTTGCTTACACGAAGCTTGATCTTTATCATGAGTTTTGCTTTACATTACATTATTTAAATGCTATTAAAATAAGCTTTTGCCACAATGCTTTTTTAAACTAAGAGCACATAATGAGATTCTTCAGATACCAAATTAAGTGTGGTATATACATAGCTTGTTATTAAAAATCCTTCTTAGAATTGATTGCTTTTTTGCATAGCTTTGTTGTATTTTTCCAAAGCCACAGTAAGCTTGTCTAATTTAATTGGTCTAAATCTAAGGTGAAGGAATAGCTTTAAATTATGAGTGTAATACCAATTCATAAGTACATTTCTTTAGACACAAATTAAAAATTTTTACAACTATTGCTGTATACCCCCTCTAATTTGGATTATAGACAATGAAGTTAGTGCATGATTTTATTTAAGGTTTGATCATTATAAGTGTTTCCCTTAATTCAAGACACCTTTCATTTCCATTCAGTTTCTATTGCCTGCCTATTTATGTTTCTGTTCATTTTTACAACTGAATTTACTATGCATGGGCTAAATAAAAATACAAATAAAATTAATACAATAAAAGCAAAGCTACTTTTTAGATTATATGAATAGACATAGAATAGAAATAGTCGCAATCAAACACCCTTGTGATTCCAGTTTTTAGATTTTTTTCAATCTGATGATGTACAGCTGAACTTGATAGACTTGTTCATTAAATACTTTCTTTTCTTCTCAGATAAATTCTATTTTTTTTTTTCAGAAAATCAATAAATGGTTACTGGAGACGTTGTATGAAATGTTACATTTTCCTGCAGTAATGGCCCCATCTTTCTAAGGACTAATCTTTCAATTTCTTCATATAAAAGAATGTACTTCTTTCTTTCACTTGCTATGCCTATGTTGAAGATCACAATTGGTTCAAGAACCAGTTTCATCTCACATCTCAACCGGGCAGCCTTCTGCCTCAGCTCTCCTGGAAGCAGGTTTTGAAAGCATCTTTGTTCAGTGTTTAACCTGTTCTCCAAAGTCTCATAAAGCTGCATCCACACAGCACCCACCCACAGCACTGTATCTGTGCACTTGCTGCAGTTATCTGGAGAGAATGAGCCTGCTGGAGATGACTTATTCTCACCCTCCCCTTGTTAAACTGTGCCTGTGGCCTCCCTGTAAAAGAATGTGTCTCTCCATTCCTCTCTCCACTTTGATATTAAGTGTACCTGACAATTGCTAGGTCATTCACTCAACAATACACCTCCATATTTTTTTTTCCACAAAGCATTCTGGGCATGCATCACCAAATATCCCCTCTTATAGAGAAATGAACCTGAACTTTCTTATTTTTTCATTAACTGCATCTGCCTTTTCATTTTTCAAAAATTGTAGCTGATTACCCTGCTGTTTTCCTGTTTCCAAAGCCCTTTCCAGACCCCCCTCCCCGAATTTCATCTTGCATATTGGCATGTGCCTGAAATCTGAATTACTACTGTTCATTCACCTCAAAGATGTACACATTTGTGAGTGTCCCTATTACAATTTGAAGAGGGACAAAGTATAATGCTACCTAGCCAGCTGCTCTCACAGAGTGGCCTACTCAAATCTGAGCACCACTTATAAGCAAGTGATTTCTTTCTAGACTATATATGTCTAATTGCTTTTACTTCTAATGGGGTTTAATCACCAAAGTTTACAGTAAAAGCTATTTTTCAAGTTTAAAAAAAGAACAAACCTTTATAATTCCTTATGATGAGAATAATTACTGTACATAACTAAGGCATTAAATCAAATTTAACATACTGATTGGAATATGCATGTTCTGGTTCAAATTTCACTTACTGTAAGTGGTAGATTATAGAAACATCTTGTTCATTTTTTTGTCACCATAATTTGATCATAACCTAACTCCTTTGCAAAGGTTTAGCACTCCTAGTATTTCAAAAAGACAGCAAACCATGTTGTTTTGAAAAATATGAAAGGATGAAGATTATGGAAAGACCAAGAAAAGATACTTGATTAAGGCAGTTTTCGCCTTTGCTGAGTTATACATAGTGAGTTTGGTATTAAATTCTCATATAGCAAGGTTTTACTCCAGTTTAAGAACTGCAGTATAGTGGGATTTCAGGTCTTGTTAAATGATAAGACACTGAATACCTTTGAAAAATGCTACATTGGTCCAATTAAACAAATCCAGTATCCTCTATGGCCCGGAGCTATGTATCCTGTTACATGTTAACTATGCATATAAAATCTGCAGTACATCTTCATAGTGCAGATACAGGTACACACACAGGGACAATTTTAAAATAACATTGAATATATTATTACGTATTATGGTGTTTAGCCTCAGGTAGGGTTCAGTGTGCGTTTTTTGAAGAAATCTTGACGAGTGTAAGTTGAAGAAACACAAAAACATATTTTTATTATTAATATGGATTTTGTATATTTTTATTTTTTGAATTTATATTACCTATTTCTTCATTAGAGGATTCATCTAAGGCTGTTGCTAAATTACCAGGGCTGTAATTCTTTCAGCTGCTATACAGTATCTGGATATAAACACCACATTAGCTCATGCAGTTTCACTTCATGACATTTTGCCTGAACTGTCACTTCTAGGGAGATATTGTTGAGTGAAAAAAACAAAATTCTTGACCTATTTAAAACAAATCCCCCAGTGTCTTGTAAAAAAGTGTTTATCAGTAAAATTCTTAAATTTATTTAACCTCTTAATTTCGAAATAATTTAAGCAGGATATTTTTTATTACACCATGAAATTCAAGCTTTCTGCTCAGAACATTAGGTCTGGACCTTCACACTTATGTGTATTACACATTCATAGTTTTTTCAGTCCAAATCCGTATTCCCACAATCTCACACCTTTCATCTCAGGTTCGCTAGCAACAAGCTATAGCAACAAGCAAGTGACATACATATTTTAACACAGACTGGGGGGAGGTGTATAAGAAGTCCTTTCACAGTACTGTATTTTAAACACCTGCTGTCACAGTTCAAGTGGGTTTTAATAGACAATGGCCAGGGGCTGTGAAGAATTACTTACTGAACATTCCCAAAATATTTATCTTGCATTGGAAAAGCAAGACTGGTGCTGTTTACCTGCCAGATAGTATTTGAGATAACCAGTAATATTTCAGCTTCTTTCAGGTCTTATTATTAGAAAATATTGTACATTTTAAAGGGCCTTCATTAGCTTGACACGGTTGCATTAGGGACTCCATTGAGTCTGTATTGACAGTTTTATAAAGGCTGGAAACGTCTACCTGAACAGGTAATAGAGCCGTTGCCTGACTAACTGCTAATTTATTGGACTGATGCTTTTATCTAAAGTAACTTATATTTGCTCCCATTTATACAGCTGGGTATTTTACTGGAACAGTTCAGGTGAAGTACGGTATATTGCTAAAGGGTAAAACCACACTTTGTACTTGAACCCACAACCTTCCAGTTACAAGTCCAGGAAAATAACTTCTCCAAACTGCTGCCTTGAGACCTGTGAGAACAACTCATGTGCCTACTTATAGTACTTCAGCCACAGCAACTAAGGTCATGGCAGTCCCTGAGTATCATATGCATGACTGTTTTTTAAGTATGGTAGTATAACCATATGCTATAAGAAAGAAACCCATGATTAATTTTAAGCTTCTGCAGTACCTGTTACTTGTTTCTTCATAGTTTTTCATGTTAAGGAGGTATATCTCCTTGGTGTGACCTTGGAACACTACTGTAGTTGCAGTTCCTTCACAATTGTGCACAACAAATATAGGCATTATAAAGAGCTGAATAATTAAAAAGAAAACCTTCAATAATCAGACCAAAGGAGACAAGGTTACAGAAGACAGGCCATGAAATCTGCCAGTCCAGACGTCACTTTTAAGGCAGACATTGACAGACAGAATACCTGTGGGCGCATACACAAACAATGTGTGGCACTGCACTAGCAGTGCGTGAAGACAGGATGGCTCAAGAACTCCACTTCTTACCCTTTCATTTTCCCCTCTCCCACTTGAATTGTGGAGATTAAGGCATTAGAACAACGTTCTAAAGAATTTATTTGACAATTGTGAGTGGCACACTTGAACAGTTTCAAGGACATTCTCCTCGCCTTGAATGAAGTTCTTTTAAGTCTCTCTCAAACTCTCACAGGTAGGATATGGTTCCATGCCTACAGTACCATTCAAGTACATTTTTAGATACTTGAAAGAAGCAGCCAGAGGGATTAATCTATCTGAGGAACAAATTTTAACAATTAAAGAACTGTAATCAAGAAAAAATGTAACAAGAAAGGTTACTACAGTGTGTTTTGGAGAGCACATTGAACTAAACAGTGTCAGTTATTTTACCTAACTTTACTAAATTTTCAAAGTAGCACAAACAGCATTAATTCACAAGTCAAATTTTACAAGCCGAAAGTATTTTCAGCCTTTGATGTTTGAAGTGCCATCATACATTAATTTAATTTTCTACTGAGAGGAGAGTTTTACTAAAAATGTTCTAACCTCCTCAGATAGTTATATTTATTTTGAATATATTTTAATGCATTAATGCCACTGGCTTGTTTTAGGAATCCAGTTAAATGTTTATGATATCCTCTACTATAGTCTAAATCTACAGCTGTGCATCACAGATGGAGCAAGGTACACATCTGCATGGATCCTCAAAAAGGAGGGAGACTTCATTTTTTTGTGAGAAATCCTTAATAAACGTGAAGCTAAAATAAGTTGGGAGAAATTGGGACCTTTTATGATGTCTCCTCTTGCTTAGGTGGAACCTTAGGGTAAATACTGCAGCCCTTAGTTGGAAGTCTTTTACCTGATAAAGCATGCAGTTGGGTTCAGCTGGTTTACCTGTCCAGATTTCTTACTTCTCTAGAGTTGGGATAGGCCTCTCAGGAGCTTAACAACTCTCTCTTAGTGGCTTTGCAAATGAAGTAGTTCATATGTAAATTCTCTTGGACAATGACATTTCCTTGGCATAGTGACATTAAACAGAATTCGAATCTAGCTTATAAAAGTGAGTTTTAATACTGGATTTGGAAGTACTGAACAGCTGCAAGAACTGATAACTTGTTCCACAGTTTTGGAGCAACACAACAGAAACCATGGCCTTTTGGGAACCTAACAGAAGCCAAAGTCTGAAAAGTGCCACTGATGTGGTATATCATTGTATGTAGGGTTAGCAGTTCACTGATGTTATCAGATGTTATCAGAAACCAAAGTATTCAGGACCTTAAAGATGAGTAACAGTATTTTGATTTTTATTCTGAAATCCACAAAAAGCCAGTGCAAAGTACTGTATGTACTTCAGTTTTGGTGTAAATACAAGTAGACAGTTTCTGAACTTGCTGCACCTTGTAGAGAACATTTTTGGAAACACCACCAAGTACTGCATTTTGGTGATCAAGCTGGGAGAAGACAAAAGCATGCATTCTCTTATCTGCATCAGACTGTAGGAGATTTGTACAGACACATGCAGTGTTACGAAGATGAAACCAGGTATCTTCACAGCACTGTGAACATGAGTTTCAAATCCAAATCCAGGGTCAAAAATGAACAAAAGTTCAAATAATATAAAATGTCAGGCAAGTTTGCTGCATATTACTTGTAGGATTTGTATAAGTACAGAAACAAAGTCTCAGATTAAAAAATGCTTTATTTTCAAAGTCTGCTAAATAAATGTTTCCTTTCTATGCCAAAATTTGACAGTTAAAAACTAATTAAAAGCTTCACATGAAAACAAATCCTTGATTATGACAAAGCATATAAACACTGAAGTTTTGATGTTTTTATAAATGTTTTCTCAAAACAAAAAAGTAACGCCACAAAGACTAACCTCCCTTTAATCATGCACCCCAGATAAAAATCAGATTTAATATTATTCGCTCTTGAATGCTGGCAACAATGATTAATGCATAAGAAGGTTGCAAATGTTAGGAGCAGGCAAATGATGACAAAAACGCCAATACAGAAAGCAGACTTCCAATCCCCAAACCTTGCACCCCAGTTCAACCACAAAAACTGAAAAGCTGCACAGATTCAGTAGCTGGCTGGACCACTTAATGGAGAAATCCCCATCTATTTGTGCCTGTCCAATTCCTATTTTGTGCATTCTAATCATCCCTCTTTGCTGTCATAGGTATCTGCTGCCAGTGACCTCACAGTTCATCATGAAATGGCCAGCCTCCAGTTTCAGCCGGGTCTCTTCGGCCGTGCCACACTCTCGGAACCTCTTTTCAACCCGGATGGGCCAGTTCTAAGATGAGCAGTTGTCCTGGTCCAACTACCAGTATTACCAGTCCATTGCAGGACCGTTAACAACCTATGATATTCAATCAAATTGTATCTGGTGTATAAAATTTGCTCGCTGTACAGGAAAAAGTCACAGTACTGTAAAGAACAAAATTTATTTTAAAATGTAACATAATCCATGAACACAAGAAAAATTCAAAGATACATTGTTGGGATGAGAGTAAAATTAACACCTTCTTAAAGAAAAACATGCGTACTTTTTTTCTGGTTAGAAAAAATGCAAAATGATTTTTGGTGCTGTCATTGAAGCATTTTGTTTGAAAAAGTTCACTTCTTTAGATGCTATTCCTTTTCTGTTATAGAAATGAGGTTAAGGTTCACAAACAGGGAAATTCCAAGCTATACAGTGTAGTTCAAAATATTTAGAAATTGAAATAGTGTGTAGCTTACTCAAAATTACTTTTCTTTTTCAACATTCACCAAAACTAAAAAACAAATCTTGCCTCAATAATTTATTTTAAAAATAAAAGGTTTACTACTTTCCTCCTCAGTTTTATTAAACGTTTACAACTGAACAATATACCAGTTGTGGTTCAAATATGGTTGGAATCAAACACTGAATGTTAGAAATATAACTTTTCTCAAATTATATTTCAGAAAAAAAAGTTTTAAGTGTGAATCTACACTTTTAGGAGACAAAATTTATAGGGAATGTTCTTTAAGAATGCGTACCACAGCGCTTAGAGCTGTTACTACTTCCATAATAGCATCTTCCTCTATCTTCTGCATGTTCAGTTTTAAAGATACTCTGCTGAGAGTGAGCAAATTCATTTGGGAAATACTTGAACCTTTTTTTCTTTAAGTTGAGTTTGTTTTTAGATACATGTATTTATTGTGTTATTTTACTTGTTTATATTATACATTTTAGAATACCCATGTTAAGGTGTTTATGAAGGAAAGGAGCTATTTTAAAATAGCATAGCTAAACTTTGTGGGTAATTTGTTCAGTTTTAACTGAAATGCTTTGTGTTCAATCAGAGTGGAGCAGATTCTACCATGGAGCTTTAGCAGCTGTGCCCTGTATTTCTCCATTAAACGTATGTGCCAGTGTAACCTTTGATAAGCCAATTATAAGCACAACCAGTTAAATAGTAATTGGTCAATTATTGAAACAGAAAATAAACTAAAGTAGAAAAATCTAATTATTATTTATAATTCCTGCAATATAACACACTTTCTGTATGTTAGTATTATACAGTATGTATATAAAATGTTGTTTTATATATTATTTATTATAATTTGCAAGTTCAGACAATATCATTGCTTAAAGTAGCAAATTATAATAGAGTTTTTATAATAATCCACATTCAGATGGAGGTGATCATAAATGTTTTTGCTCTCAATCCCTTTTTCCTTCTTCAGTGTCATTCTACAATTATGCCAAATTCATCTTTCCCGTGTACACCTAACTTTACAATAGGACCTTTCCTCAGTATGATTTTCAGTTTACATTTCAATAAAATGCTTTAAACACATTTTTTTCTCTTCATATTATTTAATAACCCTTTATCAGAGTGTATTTATTATTTTCTTAAGGTTGACAGTACGGGGGTAATAGCAGATAAACTGATGCTACCTTCAAACAAGTATGACTCCAATTGGGAAATTCCTGCAGAACTTCACTGCTTGTCTTCTGAACTGAAGTCTTTATACTGCATAATGGTTGCTTTTCCTCAAATAACATTACTGTCCAGACTTGAATGAAATTAGTGCTTCCCAGTCAGCCCCTGACAACCTACAGTATGATGCACTCACATTTACAGCCTTGTCTTACTGTCTCTTAAACTGAAGATCGAAAATAAAATTTTGACATTAACCATGAAGTCGTAAGATGCAAATGGTAATGGGAAAGCTATATATCTCTCCTTGAATAGTCTCTCACTGTGGCTGAAGTACTGCATTGTGCACTCTGGTTAATCAAAGCATTTGGTGCACAGTCCTGCTGGTGTTCATCATTTACTACAGTATGTAACACGACCTTGAATTCCCATTTCCTTGGCTCCAGAAAGATATAAACATGAGTGTTGGCCAACTCTGAACTGTGCACTTTTCCAAAAATATCTTGACATACTTTCTGCTTCCTGTGTTACCTGTGCTCGACCAACTAGAACAAATCTCTCGTTGGACAGTGAAGAAGCTTGTTAAGCAGAAGGTGGTTTCTGAAACTAGACTAGATTTTTATTTAAAAATGCATAAGCATATGATACAGTCTGTGGAGCAGTGTACATTGTAAACATCTGGAAACCTGAGATAAATGGTAAAAACTGTTGTGCTGAAAGTACAGGTAACTGGTCTGTGACTGGAAGAATTAAAGCTTAGCTCAAGATCTTGTTTTTTTAAATCCAGTCTTTTCTATATAATTTTGCTAACATATACAGTGTGTGTAACACAATTTTATATGTAATCAATTCCACTTTTTTTAGTTAAATTTTAGTCTTCATGGCCAATCAGTGATCACTGATATTCCTTGCTCTATACAGTATATTAGCAAAACATTTAAAAATATTTAGCTCAAAATAAAACACCAGCAAGATGCTCCACTTTTGTAAGTTTAAAAAAAGTTAATATACCTGAAACGCTGCGTTTTCTGTGAAAGCTAAATTGTGACACTAAAATTACATCCTTCACACACTGCTATCAAGACCAAGCAGTTTAAAGAATCTGTTTCTCAGCTGGAACCTGCTCTGCTACATAAAGATAGCGGTCAGGCCACGAAAGGTACAAGTTTGTTCGGTTTCTGCAGTCCTTCAGATTCTGATAACATTTTAAATCCACCTATTCCTGGCCTTATTTTATCATAATTTTCAAATATTACATCATATTGTCTTGTGTGATATCGCAATGGTCAGTAATAGTAAGTCAAAGTGGTTTCCAGTTAACAACAAACGTGCACTTTTCTTTTTGGGCACAGGTTTGTGCATAGAACGTACTGCATATCTTGATTAATGATCCTCATAAATTCTATACTAAGATTTTGTATACAGAAACCTTTGTGCACTCAACAAATATCCTTTTAAAGCTCTTTTTTTTTTCAAAAGATGTTTTGGAGATAAAAGGCACAGTGCAAAAAAGTGCTTATAAAAAAAACAAGAGATGTGGTTATGCAGAGACAAATAGAAAATTAGTTAGGACTGAGGACATTACAAGTAAGGAATATGGAAGATGAAAAGGAAGAATAACTATTTCATAGTGCATTTTCATGGTACCTGCAGTTAGCAAGCAAGAAGGAGAAGGTGGCATGTTGGATTAATGTTCTGCTTTGCTTGATTAGCCTTCACCCTGCAGACCCTATTATAAACCTGCACTGATGAAAGGGAAGAGAAACCTTTTTCATCTGCTGAGTCTCCATTTATAGCAAACTGCATGATTCAGATAAAGTTAGTTAACTGCAGTCCTGGTAGTAAAAGCAGAGCCAGAGAGACGCTTGAATGAGTTATCTTGTTGTGCCAGGCTTGGGCTGCTGTCTTGGATCATACCTATGCTGTTAATAAGCATAGACACTTGTGCTCTTTCCAGCTTTCCAACATGCAATCTCTGTCTCAGCCACAAGCAAGGAAAACAAAGCTGATGTCATATTTCAGCATTTAAACTGCACTAACTCGTCTGATCTTCCCTAAACATTGCAATGCAACTGGCGTCTAACCGAGCAATTCTCCCCAAGGCACGGAATGTGGTTACCGTTAGTTTACAGGGAGAAGATGAACCTATCTGACACAGACAGCAGGAAGACTGCAGATTAATTCAGCTTTCAAATCACTTTAAAATGAGAAATAATTTTCCAATGCAGCTTTTTAAGAATAAAATGAAGATGTTAAATGTTCTTAACAGCACAATTCCTGTTTTTCTTTCTATCATACCTGCTGGACAGCAGAGGTTTTAAGGTTCCAAGAACCTCATGACTAAAAGAAAACAACTTCTGCTCTTCTGTAACCTTTCATATATTTTTATGCTCTTATTTGCTGCTTCTAGCCTTCTCTATAAAAAGTCCATTCCTTTAGTGTTGATAGTGTTATTAAAGTCAAAAGGAAGCAGAAAGTGAAGTAAAATGCTGCCTACGGATTATATATTTTTTTAGTCCCAGCAAGAATTGAGTGATCTGAATTGATTTTATCAATATGTTTTTTCCAGCAAGGCTCAGAGACATATGACAGGTCTGTTCTGCCCATTAGGTGACTGCTGAGCTAAGGGACATGAAGACAACCGGCTGGTTGCTTGAGCACCAGTAGAGGTCTTTGGGACTCTTTGTACTCAAAGAATCGACACTAAAATACAGACATAAGCAGAAGGCTGCCAGGAGCACTTCCTCTTGTATGCTGCTATGATTTCTAATAACTAGGAAAAATACACTATCACTGATCAGAGCTGCCTTCAACTACAGAATACTGCATGATGTAAAATTGGTCTTCTTTCCCTCATTCTAGCAAGAAACCAGTGTCAATTCTCTTGGCTAATGTAAGGATGTTCCCTATATTTATCTTTAGAAACAAAGAAGCTGACAACCAAGCTTCCTTTACTAAACACTCTAGCTGTCCTATTACTGCACTATCACGGTCTCAAAGCCACCTAGAAGAGAGGATGCTACCCCACTGCTTCTTTGATTCCTCGAGCAACGTACACTGAAACTACAGTAGCACATCTTTCTTGCAGTGAATTTCTTATTCACCTGATTCTCTGGGCACAGACTCAGATTCTCAGAAATACATATTTGTCACCCCCAATTGCAAAAGACCTCTTTTTGACCCTTGCATTCAAATGTCTGACCTCGGTCCAATCTCTTTGTACACCTCTATGTTCCATGGACAGGCTTCATATGCAGTTGTCTTTTCCCAGATTTAAGCAGAAAAACTGACATGTTTTTTGCATTTCTGAGTATCATGTCTGAGTATGTGAACCACCAACTATGGATGCCTGTCAAATATTCCATAGCTTTACATTGGCATGCCTGGTACTGGTGTCACTTTTGGCAGTCTCAACCTGCTTTAAGAGTACAGTACTCTGCTGCCTTTCAAAATAAGACTGGCTTCTTTGCCCTATAGTTTCTATCAAACTCTACCTTCACGACCCCTGTAACCATTTTGCACAATAAATGTTAATAACTCCAAGCAAACTATTGGGAAAAAATGTGCTGTTTATTTTTTATCTGTCTTGTTGATTTAGATCAAATCCAATTTTTTGTGCGATTGCTATTGTTCTCATGCTTAATTATTTTCAATTTGTAAATTTAAAACGCTTATGTGAGTACACAGAAAAAAAGGTGATGCAATTCTGGTGTAAGCAAGGAAAGTATGCCTGGCTTAAACAAAAGCATATTCACATTCTTCTTACCAGCCCTCTCATTTCTGTGTAATTCATTTGAATTATTTTCACACCAACGAATCTCTGGGCAGTTTTTTTAATGCTTTGCAAATTAGGTTCCACAAAAAGAAAAAAAAACACATCTGATTGATTGTACTGTATGTATGCCACAGAAAGCAGATTGTCAAATGATGTTGATTTAAAGGTATGTACTGTACTGTACATCAGCAAATGAAAATAAAGAACCCAGTCACTGCCCATGATATCCATTTTTCCAAACGTTTTTTTTTAGTTAACTCTTTAGGGTTTATTTAAAAAGTACAAATACTTAAAGGATTACAGTCTTTATACCTTCCATTAAATGTCTGACCTTTTTTACATGAGAAAGTTTCTGATGGCACAAGCTCCAGGAGAGAAGACTGATTTCCTCTGAAAGTGCTTTCAAACTTTTTCTTTGCTGCTGTTGGTTCTGCCATTTTGGGGATATTTTATAATACCCAGACCTCTGAAATCCTCCAAGTCTTGTTGCCTAAGTATTAACATTTGACATCTTATGTCAAAGAAACCAAGGTTCATCTTGATGCTGGACTCACATTTAGTACTTATCTTTCCAAAAGGGGAAAAAAAACATGACATACCATGACGTCTGCTCTACAGCTCATTTAACCTACGCCTTTGCCTCACAGAATAGACACATCCTAATTCATGGCTTTGTCAAATCACTTACACTATGTTTTCAGGTTATTCTCAACACACGAATAGAGGTTTTAAAAAAAGGTTAAACAAAAGCTCAGACAGATTTTTATGGGCAAAAAATAAAACTTGAAATAAGTAGTAAGGCCTGTCTGTTGAATTAGCCAATTTTAATTCTTTGCTTTCCTAGGGATTGAATTAAGCAAGGTCCACTTGGCCCTTTTACATTCTGTTTGACCCTCTTCTTCATATTTTTAAACGATTTATTTAGCTATTTCTTGCAAAGACCCTTTCTTGTGTCATAAGAAACACAAATCTTTGTCTTTCAGAATGTAGGATTCTTTCATTATTTTTGTCTTATTGCCAGTTCTGCAGGGAGAGGTAGGTAGTAAGGGTTTGAGGTTTTTGCAGGGAGAGGTAGGTAATAAGGCTTTGATATGTCTGGGTATGATAAGCTTGAAATGCATACAAACCTGAGCCATTTTCC